GCGATGACAGGTCATGACTTTAGGCATGCTGTACAATTTACAAAGAAATCTTTCTTATTGAATAAAAATTTATCAACGAACTCTTTGAAAATAAGGATAGGGTTTTATGAGTTTTCTATAATTCCACTTGATTGGATTACAATTTAGATAAGTATTTTATCGGGTTTTATTTTTTGTAACTTTATGTAAGGTCATAGGTTAGTACCGTCAAAAACACAATCTACAGTTTTGTCTTTTACCTCCATTCTGACCAGTTTTCAGCTGGCTAAGTCTCGAGAAGGTAGAGTAAATTAATGAGGTAAGATTTGACTAATAATTCTTGTAAAGCTGGACTTTTTACTTCAGAATGTTTGTTTGATTAATGGGTCCTATCGTTATCATATTTGAGGTCTTTAAAGGCGACAATTTAGACGGGGTAATGTCGGTAGGCCCGGCCCCTCACTTCTAAGTTCTAGTTGGAATTGTGGACGTGAAGCCAAGTGCAGGGGAGTGAGTGGGCGTGCCGTGGGATGATGTTCATATCGAGTCGTTAGACATTCTGGGAAAGAAAACATGATGGAAAAGCAGCAACTAGTCTTTGCCTAAGACTGGCTAAAAACATATACGCACGCTGCACTACAGTTTCAGGTTGAAAAACGGCTGACATAGTGGGGAGTCCTGCACTTGTCAGGTTTTTTTGTTTGACCTCATTGGAAAGAAAATTTCAAAAGAAATTGAATGGTATAAACCTTAGCTCAATAGCTGTAAGTATAGTGAAATTATGATTTTATTGTTGTTAAAATTAGGTGCAATTAGTCCGTCACTTTTTTGGTGGTTAACACAAGTTTTTTTTCATCAATGTATTTGAACCACATGGAGTCTTGTCCCTCATTGGTTCCACTTCCAGTCATGCCAGAGTTGGACAAAAATCTGTAGTAGTTAAGTCACAGAGGAAGTGTAAAGTAAACAATATCTTTTATTATGGAGAACTTTATCAGTAATAAACACAAGATACATGTACATGATGTATACAGTAACAGGACAGTTGAGTTGGGCTTTAAATTTTTAGTGATGTGTGAAAGATCACTGAAGCATAGTTTTGATGTGATATTTTGTCATCAATAAATAGCTTCAAAATAGGGAACCAAGTCTGTCAGGTGTCATTTTAAGTCTGTTCGTGTTTGACAGGGTCTTTTGATAACATTTCATTGAAACAACATGCGTGGTTTTAATATGCCCTTGTTATTTGCATCTTGCTCCCCGTGCACCATACAACTGATGCACATACCATACATGAGCACAGTTGCACAACAGCACCCAAATACAAAAGGACTGTTTGGCACCAGTTTGAAATCAATTTTTTACAAAAAAAAACCAACTTCCTTTTCTTCCTGAAATCTCAAGCTTCCAAATAAACACCATTTCATCAACTCCTTATACATGTTTTGGGGGGATTTTCAACAGAAAAATGCACATTTTTTTGTTACCTTTTTGTAATCTTCACAAACCAAAACAAGGCTTGACGGTGCTTTGGTCAAATGCCTCAAGTCATACATCAAATGAAAGAGTATTTTAAGCTCTACAAGATGATGACATCATCGTTCCAAACCCAGTTGAGTCTTGCGAGATATTAGGCTTAGACAAGACTATGTCACACCTACAAAGAAAGATGGACACACAGAGTTGTTGTAGTGTAAGTGGCTCTGATCTTGCATTATTTTCATACTTTACACCCAAAACTTGACACAAACAGACTACTAACACAAATTTTGACTCTTTTACAAAACTGCTTTTTAAAATATAGAATTTGATGCAAAATGGGCAAAAATCATTGATTGGAAACAAACACTTTTACACGCTTCGAGATAAAAATTTTAGAGGTGTCGTTTCGCTGGACTCCCTACTGATAGGCCGTAGAAGTAGTCCAATTGGATATTATCAGTCTCCACAACAATGGACAAAGTGTAACAAATTGCTGTGTTAATATATAAATCATGTGTTTTTCTTTAATTTCTAATGCTAACTCTGAATTTGTTATTACCATGTTGTGATGCACCGTAATTGGTAAGTTTTGCTTTTCTTTATGCTTTTCTGTCCAACAGGTGAAAAGTAGAGTTTGCTATAGAATGCTGAACTGAGATCCTTGGCAGGGATTCAGGCCTGGCAGAGGTCTTTCATCATTTACGGCTCCTCTTAGAACTTTGTCCAAGTTGTTATGGGGCAACAGCGATAGAGAAATTTATTGAGATTTCTTCCGCTGCTGGACCAAGAAGTATTTTGCTGCTATTCAGGTTTCATCACCACCTCTAGGAACAATTGGCACAATGAGCTGGTAAGTATTTTTTGCATCTCAAAAATTTGAAGCTCACCCCAGACCAGACCAGACTTTGTCCTTGACTACCTATTCGTGCATTTTTCATTTGCCTTTAATTGTATCCATATATGTTCAGCTCCTTTTTAGGTTTACGCTGATTTTTTAAATCAATGGAGAGTAAGTTGTTTTCCCCATGAAAGTCTGTCGTCATAAAAAATTACATGAAAAGTAAAGGTTGATTTGCAACATTTCTGTTTTGTCGTCATTTGCAGGAACATTTTTAGTCGTCTGACATCTCCAAAGAAGGCACCTCCAGTCATAACGAAGGAGGTAATCCTTTCTCCTTGTGGTTATTGTACTTTTTTGTTGATATTCAGTTTCTTGTAGCATGATTCACTGTTTCAGAAATGGTAGCATGTATCGATGAACAAAATATCCCTTCACCTTCCCCGAATGTCATTACCAAGGTCGTCATTTCTAAGGATTTTACTGGATGTTAACGATTTTTGACCCATGAAATGTTAATTTTATTCATACATACATCCAAAATGCACCTTGTGTCTCATTTTCAATTGTAGTTTCACAAATCAAGGGCTGTTTGCTGCCATTTTAATTTAGAATTATTCTAATGAGATTTCCATATTCATGAGCAAACTGTGATGCCAACCCCGGATGCAAAGTTCAATGTTACATTGGTTTGTGCACTCAAAGATGCTGATAAAAAAAAAAGATTCTGCTGGGTAAATTTGCCTTTCTTTGATGAATTATTGCTGTAAAACTACATAGCAATAATAGAGCAAGCAACCCTTTCTAAGATATGCTTTCATTGGATAAATTCTGTCTTCACAGTTTGAACTGAATAACTATATCTTCCATGGATAACGTCATTGCAACAGCGCCCTCTGGACTGCTTAGAATGTTTTAAAAAGTGCACTTTTCAATACATTGGAGCTGAAAAGGATGTCATGTCATTTACATACATAAAAAGTAGAAAGTTGCAGAATAATTGTGCCTAAGGAAATTCTTCTGCTGCTACCCTTTAATCATTCAGGTATTGCTGCATATTAGCCTTTTGCACAAACGAACGGAATGAGAGATTGATAACTTGTACAGTCATTTGGGAGGAAACTCATACCTTGTTGTCTGTTGCCATTCTTGAAAGGCCACACCTTTATAAAACGCTGTCATTGTTACGATCGCCCGGCTTGAGCCTCTTACGGATTTGCCTTCATCCTCCAATTTTGCCCGCCAACTACGCCACCCAAAACACCCTAAATTATTGAAACAGTGACTGTTTATTCCAAGGGAGCTCTAACCTTGCCCCACAACCCAGTTCCTACAAAAACCAGCTAGTTGTGATGAGTTTGCTGAAGGGAGGGAGGTAGAGCCCAGCCACTATGGCCCGCCACGATAAAGTCATGCTTTCATGGTAAAGTCATTACATTTGCTTAGCACATAAATTGGCTAAGCAGTGTTTTTTTGCCAAGAAAAGATTTCTTCCACTGGCAGGGCTGTTTGCAAGCACAGCTGAGCGTGAAGTGAATTTCTTTATCTTTTGTTGATATTTCTTGTAGGAGGAGAAAGCATTTGAACGTGAGGTGAACAAAATCAGTGTGTAAGTATTACAGAGTTCAAAAGGATGTGAGAAATGACAGTATGATTTCTTCAAATGAAAGATGCTTTTCGGGCGCAAAGCAAATAGTAAAGCTATGATAGACATTCTGTGGAAACCCATCCCAAAAATCCACCCGATCTTATGGATCTCTTGGACGGCTTTTTAAGCGAAAGAAAGTGAAGCCTAGCCACGATTACAATACACACCGGGCTTGGAACCCCTTGGAAGTTCAAGTACAGTGCAGAAAAACAAGCAATTGTTTCCTACACATTTGTGGATTTTGAGGATTCAGGAAGCTAACACACCTTTGGCATTGGGTAAACCCCAATTTTTTTCCCGGAAGGGAGGGTTTTATTGAATCTGGTTGGTTTTTTTAACCACTTCAGTCTGGACGAAGCCACCAAGAAGCTGTACAAGGACATGAAGCACTGCATCGAGGCCATGGGGGCGCTCTCCAAGTCACAGTGCCGCATCGGACAGAACCTGGCAGCAAGCCCCATCCTGAACACTGAGGAGTCGTTGAAGAACCTGGAGCTCATCAGCAAGTCCATCGGGCAAATTGAGTCCAAAACTCAGGAACTGGTAATTGCCTGTGCGGCAGTGAAAACAAACAACCCAACACCCCAACAAACAAACAAACAAACAAAGGGTGATATCTGATTTTGGCTGAGTTTGCCGCGCTCACAGTTCGGCTGTCAAATGTGATGCAGTCCTGCAGATTTGTAAAGACTGAAAATGAATAACAAGGACGAATCCTGCAAATAGTCTGGCACTTTGCTCGTTTCAAGTGTTCAGTGAATAAAATGGATTTGGGGAGCACAAATTAAGAAGAATATTATGTGAATGAAGCCAGTGGTTTGGCCTAGCCACGCAAAATAAATGCTTCTTTTGTCCTTACTGCCTGCACGAGAATTCAGGATCATGTAAATTGTCTATTTTACTGTAATGTTTCCTTTTCTTTGCGGCACAGATTTCTGTCCAAAGTTCTTTCAACCTTTCCTGTTGCCGTTGTCCGATACACGTGGGGCATTCATTGTGTTTTTTACCATCCCCAGAATGCCAGCTCTATGCGGACCATGGTGGAGCCCATGAAGAAGTTCAGCACCATCTTCCCCAGCCTTTATATGGCCCTCAAGAAACGCGAGCAGTGCCTACAGGTGAGGCGATAACACGTCGTGACGTGTATGAAAGGCCATTGTTTCAGCAGTAGTGTGATTCTTTGCATTACAAAGAATACAGTTAAGTTTGATCTCTCGCTCTAGTTTGTCTTGCTGATGAAATGGCCATTATAGATTACCAAAGTGAATCCGTCACATGCAAAATTTCACAACGAGTGCGTGAACCAACATGTGGGTATATGTCATTCGTTTGCACTGCACTTCCCGGTTCAAATGACGTGACATTTTGGTACTCTATATGGGTGGGAAATGTTAAGAGTTTCCCTTTATTGGCATCATGCAGCATCGTTTTGAAAGTGAATCTGGCGTCTTATGACTCATTTTGTTACGATAGGTCATATGTTATTTATCCCTTTAGCCCTGGTAGAACACAGAATAATATAACGTGCCTTAGTCCTACATATAAGACAGTATGGATCATGGTGTATGGGCATATCAGTTGTCATGGATCATCCAAATAGATCAAGGGATTCATGGTTTTAAAAATGCATGTCTTTTAGACGTTTTCCTCTGGAGAGTCTGGGTATTCCGATTGCGAGGGTCCGAGCTCACTGACTGAACCATTGACGAAACGCTTCAAACTACTTTGAACTTCACAGAGTTTCTCAAATGGTGTATTTGTGAGTCTTTCATAATGGTAAATGCGAGTGTTTTATCTTGATTTGTTTTTTGTTTTGAAATACACCGCAGGAGTACAGTCGATGCCAGGGTAAAGTGGAAAAATATCAGGACCGGGAGCGCACAGGCCCAAATCTTGCCAAACTAGAAGCGGTAAGAATGTAACATGGCAAAAGTTACAATTATACTAAAGAAATTGATGTGACTTTGTTTCAGTTACCTCAGAAACTCGTTATTCTCTCATGTTTTGTAACATCCCAGCTCCTGGTGAAGCAAATTTAAAGGAACTGTGAGAGTCCACCACTATAACAATGCTTTTTCCTCAGCTGCAAATTCTTCTCAGCTGCTTGGCTTGTTCATACTTTTTTGAGCAAGTCCTGTTTTCTTTTTTTTTCTTCGCAGTCGAAGAAAAATCTAGCGGCAGCTAAGGAGGAGTACGACAGACAGCACACTGAGCTGATGCAGGCCATGCCGCAGTTCTTTGAGGGGCGCGTGGAGTATTTCCAGCCGAGCTTTGAGGCACTCATCAAGTCTCAGGTGAACAGCCGCGTTTTCTCCCTTCCATTTTTCTCCTCTCGTGGATTCCACACAGGAACAGTTGTTGGCAGGGAGGGATATGTGGACTGCTTGCGAGGGTCCAGGAAGGACATATAGGCACCCGGTGGTTCACTTGAGTGAAATTTTCATTTTTCGTTTGAATGAGCACAAAAAGTTACCATCTTTATGTACACGCGAGAAGAATGCATCGGAGAGGGAGTCATAGTAGAAATGGTTTTCAAGTATTTGACAATGACAGTGTTTACCGCTGTGCTGCCAAGGCATAGTACAGTGACCCATTTATAGAGCTATTTAGAAATTTATATGGAGTCTTAGGGAGAATTCCCCAAGGTTCCTTGACAAAAATAGCTTTAGTTGCTAAAGTTCACTGAGGATCTTCTGTTTGTGATTAAAATGTTATTACACCTTTCTGTGAAATGCTAAATTGCTGTATCACACAGGTCATATATTACACGGAATGCTTCAAGATCTATGCCGAGCTTGCCGTCCAGTTGGGGGACAACGACACGCTGCAGAGCGACGAAGACTTTGAGATGGACCTACACCGACGGCTATGTGAGATCCGGGCTTTGTCCATTGTCGTAGACGACTGAGTAAAGTCTAAATTCTGGAGGTTTTTTTTCAGTAATGTAGCTGACCACTCACAGTGGGCGCTTAGTGCAAGGACCAGTACCCGGTATGTGTATTGTTTCTTTGTGTCAGCTCAGATGTTGAGAATAAATGTTACTAAGGCAGTGAATATGGTCTAACCGTTTTGGGTCGAGAACAAATGAATTGTAGTCCGTTTTGTATTACATGTGAAATTATAATGCTTAGGCGTGTACGTGTGGTTTGTTAACTCTTACTATTTAATCAAAGTACTATATTCACATTATTTTGTCAGAAACCTTATCTTGTGCAATATCTACTTTCAACTTCTCAAGATGAAATTCCATGTTGCCTAAATTCAAATAAATTAAATATCAAATGGTACTTAACAACTGCTCTTGACTTTTCTCAATTTACCAAGGCAGATTTTGGTGGGACTATACTATTGACAATTCCAGTCGTATTTAGAATTCCAGATGACAAGCGAATAGTTGACTCCAATTCAGTGACCCTCCATTCCACCGTTTATAATGAAATAAATCTTTGTAAATCCGAGTGGAAGTGAAGGACAGCCTGAAGTAGATGAGCATATTTGTTGTCCTGATGCTCTTGAGTATTAATACGGAAGAGGTTGGAAATGAATACTAATTGCACAGAACTATTTTTAAAAAAAGACGACTGACAGTTCAGAAGCACACATTACATGGTCGTTTCAAGTAAGTTATGTTTATTTTGTACAAAAATAGTTGAATATACATGTACAATGGATCTGCATTATGACTGCAATTTAGCTGTGATTGTGCTGTGTTGACTATTCCTGTACAAGGTTTGTGGGATAACTTGTTTTCTTCTACCCAGGCTCTATGCAGCTCATACTGGTCGTTTTGACAGTATTATTGTTAATGTAAAGACGCTTGTCAGCAAAAACCCTTCCTTAAATGATTAAGTGTCCAAAAAAAAGGGGTTTTGGATGTGGAGGAATTGCACAAATTGAAATGCATCAAAGAAAATAATTATTAGGTTCATTTTTTATTAAATAGCAAATTTACAAAAATATAACCCAAGCAAGCAACTAATGGCTAGTTTTGAAATACAAAAATTTAAAGAACCATTAATGGATGATGACTGAATCTCACTTGAATGAGCTTTCCTTTGATTTACCTCTGCATAAATTATTTATAGATCAAGGACAATGGGCACACCAAGATTTTTAATTCGGTTTGAGACAATATGCATACATTTCCTTGTGGCCAACATGCAGAGCAAAATCGACCCAAATTGTGAACCTTTAACTTTTTAACCCATGTGGAAAATAAGTCAACATGTACAGGAAATGCAGCAGTTGTCGCAGAGGTGCCAAATGCTCCATATTAAATCAGTTATATTTCCTGCACAATATTTTAGAAGTATAAGCCCCCATGTAGTTATAGGTGTGTAAGTCAAGTAGTCTTTCAGTATAAAAAAGAAATGCCAACAAGGCAGCTTGATGACTATGGCCCAAATGTTGTACACTGTACTGTCAAACACCTTTAAACGAGATCATTGGGTTCGAGTCCCACCTCAGTAAGCTTGTGAATTTTTTTCGCAAGCTCTTGTCAAGCACTGGGCATACAGTGTTTATCAATATATATACGTTGGGTAAGGGCAAAACCTGTTATATAAATTAAGATCATTGGGACTTCACCTTGTAACAACAGGGACCTTCTATCAGTATTGGAAAACGAAAAATGCAGTGATTTTGGCGACCTTGAAGTGATCTTGTTACAAGCAAGACGTAGTAACAGTGTGCTCTGACAATTATCGGTGTTCCCCTGGTGGATTTTTGGCAAAGTCTCCTGTAAGATTTGGTTACATTTTACTCCTCATGGAAAAAAAAAATTAAGAGTAAGCAATAAAATGGAATTAAAAGAAATACTTGATTATAAATATCTTCTTTGTACATCTATGAAACAGTAAAATAATCCCTTCGTTAACTGAATCAAGTGTCCTCTGCCGTTTCTACTATTTTACTTATTTGATAAAAATTAATAGTAAACCACAGGGAAATACCCCCCACCAATTAATAAACAACATTAAGCATAAACAGCTGTTTTTCTGCTTACAGCATGTTCATAAATCAAGCAAATGCCACTACTAAGTTTTCAGTTCAAGGACTAGAATTGGATTTTCGTGGCACTCTGCACGTACCAGCAAAGTGTCTGTATTTTTTCAACTGTGAAACAGCTTGTAAACCTTTCCAGTTTTCTGTCTCGCTTTTTTTTTAATGCCACACAAAACTGAAAAAAAAAATGCTGAACGAGTTCCTGTGCAGCTGGAAATCTCCCTCCCTCCCTAGTCTTGACTACCCTACAGGATAACCGTCTCGCACGAAAATGCAAATTGCTCGGAAAAAAATTGATTTTACAAAATAAAGTGCTTATATATTTTTGTTGTAGATTGGTGTAGCTCCCTCAAACTCTGGCCACAGACATTAGGCGGTCAGAAATAATTTAATTCTTAAACCAATTCCAGGACCTTGAAACAATGTACATGCAGACGGCCTACCCCCCAAGTGCCCTGTCTGGAAATGAACCCGGACCCTAGCAAATGCAAGTCAAGTGCACCAATTTTTTTTTTTAAAATCTTGTATTCAAATTAAAGCCATTCCATTACTACTGAATTTCAGATTGCTTTCTGGACTGTACACGTGAGATGTTGGCTACGTCCGGCCGCTTGCAGCGTGGAACTTGACGAACGCTATCGCCGCTAGTTCCTTACAGAACTCCTCTAGGACGATCACACCCTCCAGGAGATCAATGTATGGCAAGCTGTGCAGAAACACATGAAATGTCGTAAGGAAAAAGTAGTTTAACAGATGTGTCTCCAATCAGTCTGTGTTAATATGGAAATAAGTTCTTGATTTGGATCATATCTGTCTTAGGGACATGAAAGGCATTTGAAATTTATATTCAATTATCTCATTGCCATATACTGTACTTATATTGCAGTTGGCTTAGGCACTGACACATTTTTAGAATGTGACTGTTGAAACCACACACTAAGTAAGTCTTGTGTGGGTTTGCAGTAAATAGGAAAATTCAGAACAAAATATCAATACATAAAATTGTAATGACTCACAGTGAGGACTTGAACGGAGTCTAAACCTTTGCACCTAGAACTCAAGTCATTCTTAGAGTATAACATTACTAGCCCAATCATTGAGACCCATATATCTTTGTTACGTAGATTCAGGGGCAACATTAAAAGGAACTGATGTTATCATTTTACTTCATTGGTAACAGTCAACAAGGATCATTTACAAGCTGGGAACAAACACAACGGAACACAAGGCAAGTCATGGAAAACAGTTTCTGTTGTTACGGCGTCATATGGAGGCACAAGTATTGAAAGAATTTACAAAGGAAGGAGCAAATTTGTCGATATACCATCTCTTCTCAAAATAACACCTGTAGGGCAATGATGAATGGGTTTTAGTAACTCTGTTTAGTGGAAGGATGGAGTCATTAATTGGAAAGTGTTAATTCTAACACCAATTGACGGCTACATACTTTGTTCAAGGGTTGACAGGTTTGTATACTTTACAATGTTGGTTAACATGTATGTGTTCTACAATGATCCAGGAAACACATTCTAGATGCTACTTTGAAAGGTGCATAACAAAATTCTACGGGTAAAAATCAGTAGTTGGGGTTAAAGTAAGTACGATAGTCTGCGCGTTTTTGTGGAGATTAAAAAGTCAGTCATTTGGAAATAATTTTGAATTCTTGTATCATGGTGGAATATGACTTGGAGTACCGAAGCATGTTGCATATTAATGATTTTTTGGGGGGCTGAACTGTTGTTCTCCAGATTGGAAGAAAAGGGGTGGAAAGCACAGACAGGTTAACAGCCCCATCTGAGGGTCACTTTGTCGTCAGACACATGACATGGAGAGAGAATTTTGCCACACATGAACCAGACCCATGTCGGATGCTGGCCATATTGAAAGTTGGATGAAATACAGGTATCTAACATCTGAATAGTTTTCATCTGGATGGGGACAAGGCAACAGAAATGGACTTTCAGGGGTGCATATTGGTATCTCTTTGGTCAGTTGTTTGTACGAGTCATCCACAGGCTTAACATAGGAACTTTATTAATTTGCTGTAATTCTTCAATAAACGTAACTATAAAAGCTAGCAGTTTATGCAGGAAAGACCTGAAAACAGTGGGATTAATTAAGTAGGCTTGCAATTACAAGTAAATGCTTTCTGCAATAAAAATAAAGGGTTAAGCAGATTCTGAGTAAGTCACAAAATAAAATCGTGTAACTGAAAGATGTACATTCCAATGTAAGATGCTGGTAAAATGCATCCACATCATATGCAAATATAACAAATATTACATCAGCACCTCCAGTCCATAAGTAGAGGTAAGCGGAACCAATAATGTTAAGTTCTAAATAATAGAGCTGGTAAGTGATTTTTGTTATTGTTACAACATGCAGCCAGTTTGGGTAGTGTAAGTTACCCCTGGAAAGGAAAGAGCATTTTCAATTGGAAGTTCAGACAACTTGAGCAGGTGAACAAACTTCTCTTCTTGGCCGTAAATGGATTACACCTAAGCAGGTGGATAACAATATTGACGGCTGCAACCAGCATGAAAGAGAATAGGAATAACTCTGTAGAGCTTAAATTGTCTAAGCCTCAGATCTTGCAATCCACAGAGTGTTTTTTCATGTGCTCAATCTGGATTTGAAACTTCACCAACTGTGAGCTGCACGAACGTACATTTACATCGGTGTGCTTGACATTCGTGTCCTGTCCAGGGCCTAACACAGCCCGCTTGTCGATGCAGCAGTTTTGAAAACACTTGGTACGTCTTCAAGCGCTCAAATGAGACAGTGTGTGGTTCGCCCAGAAATCCCCAGTGAGGGAACTGCACACCCATGAAAGGGATCCGCAAGTGTGTTCCCGTCTGTATTGTCTTATCCATGTACTGATATTTGCTGTATCACCATGCATTAGTTACGATTCACATGTGAGGTGTGGGTATTAGACTTGACCGATGATGGACATGAAATGAAGACGTCATTACTGTGACCAATGGATTCTGCATGCTTCTCCTACAGGGAGACCATCCACACAAAGATGCACAGTTGATATTCATAACATGGCAGCAATACAATACGGTAAAACTAGGCAAATTTTGTGGATAACCAAAAAAAAAAAGACTAACAAATGCTGACAAGATCAACAAGAAATCAACGTCATGCTGTGAGCGGATGCACTGATTATATACTCCACAGGCCGAGGTTGGTTAATGGCGTGTTACAAGACGAGCAGGCAGTCGGGATGGGAAGGTGGGGGAGGGGGCGGCAACTTACTTCATAATGGGGGCTATGGACTTCTTGCCTCTGTAAATACAGAATAGTCACGGATGATGTGATTAGACGGGTCACTGGGAATTTATGCCCTTAAGACAGTCTCGGACATGTTGCTGACTACCATCAATAGCTGGCTGAAAGACATATTCTGCTGGTGGTTTCGAGTGAAGTCTGGTTTATCAACTGTGCAATCGTGTGCAAATCTAAGCCAATTTAAGATCCGGATCAAATCCCAAACCCTGTGCTCAAAATCTTTGCCAAGAACTTCTCACAAAATTGTAAGTCCTATTTTTAAGCTAGACTGAGACAAATTCACTTCAAAACCTTCAGTTTGGAAAAAAGACCCAAAGAAACACTTCATCTTTGACAGCCAAAAAGTTACATTCTAGGAATCAAGGGTGCAACTGTTACATGTATAAAGATCCAACAATACAGACACAAGACTTGCCCTGGGAGCTTGAAACCTCTTACCTGTCATCTTCTTCCACCATGCCCATCAGCTGCTTCCTTACCACAAATGCCTGCCGCTGGAAATCAGGGATCGACCTGAGCCGGACGCTCAGATCGCTGACCACCTGCAGACACAGGAACAAAGTTTCACACCTATCAGATTTTGGTTTTGCTTGAAGCACTGCCCTTACACAATCAGCAAACCAGGTAAATGTCTCAAACACCTATCCCACATCTTCCATGACACAACATACCCACTGCCACACATTCCACTGCTGCCATCCCACTTCTGCCACCAACTACATGTATCCCACTTCTGCCACCATGCATCTCACCTCTGTCACCATCAGCAACAATTTTCTTTCAACATCTACTCACATGCATATTCCCTCATTTATTCCTTGTCTATCTTCCCACAACTTACTCTGAGGAGGACAGAGTGCATTGTCCTGCAGCCAGCCGCCACCGGCAAGTATGGATCCAGGAAGAACTCTTGGATGTGAGGATGAGGGAACAGACAAATCTTGGAAAGGAGGGAGGTCACTTGCAAGTTGACTTCATAGGTCTGACAGGCAAGAAAAGTATAATGCAAACATAACACTCTTGACGTTAGATGCTAGAATGTAAAAAAAAAACCAAATTGCAACCAACCCCTGAGTGAAGCAAGGGCTTTGACAGATATTTCTTTAAATGATTCAGAGAACTGTTTTAAATGAGAAACACACTGATAAATGCCATATAAGAAATGTGCGACATACCTGATCGAGCATACGAGATAGCTTGTCAAAGAGAATTTTGAGAAAGGCCCCCTCGTAAAATGCCTCATCTGGACAGCGTTCCAAAGGTGTAGGGTAATTCGGCCAATCGTAGGGAAGACAGTTGACAGAACACTCTCGAAACTACAAAGCAAGACATTGCCATTCAAATCAGAATTATGCATCTGAGTGTTCACGACAAAATTCTGAAAAAAGCCATACCAATTTGTGGAAGATTTCAACTTGGACGGTGCCCGAATTGGACAGTTGTTCACTGGCAACATGTTTTCTGATCACATTACACAAACCACTTTGATTCAAATAAATAGGTTGTTCAGTCGATTTTCTCTATATTTACCAGTCTGTGAGCCTCTCTGAGGTAGGTATCGTAACCTATATCCCCAGTCAAATAGGAAGACCTGGCCTCCTCTGGCATGAGACCTAGAAAACTGTGGGATGAAATCAGAAGACAGTGTAGTTAATATCACTGCAATTTATCGATTATCCTTGCTGGCAGAAGGAGCCATGCATGGATCAAAGGATAGAAGGCACTGAGACACGAAGCAATTTTTGTCGCATGAAAAACCAGCCCACCTGTTGACAATCTTATGAATGCTAGTTTTGTCGTCTGTTTCTGAGCTGGTTGTGGACATCGACGGCGACGGTTGGGTAGCCTCGCTACCCGCATCCGAGAGAGAGTTCACTACCCCATCCCGCATGGGAGAGCTCGGGATGAGGGTGGGGCTCTCCGGCCCGTTGCTAAGTGTCTCCACCCCGCTGTCGCTCACGGCCCCGTTGATGGAACCCTGGTCGCTGGGGTGACCGGAGGACCCCGGGCCGGCTGCGTCACCGCACCCTTGGTCGCAAGAGTCGGAAGAGCCCTGGTCACTGGGGTTGGTGGTGCTCGACCCCTGGTCGCTCGTGTCACCAGAACCCTGTTCGCAGTTTTCCGTCGAGTCGGTCCGGCTGTTGTAGGCACGCGACTGGAGATTGCGAAGGACCAGGTTAGTGACAATGTGACCGTTGGCTTTGCAGAAGAGGGTTTCAAATAACTTCAGAGCCATTATGCAGATCTGTACAAAGAAACAAATTCAGGGCATAAATTAATTTTTCAGAAGTGAAACTAGACCTGTAATGTTACGGCTATGACAATGCTGTTTTAAACAGCTCAAAGGTCTATAGATTTTTACATGTTTTGGCTCAAGGACCTCAGTGTTTTGGACTCAAATACATCTATCAAGATCTAATGGTAGGCCTATTCTGTTTGTATTTTCTTGACCACAGCTGAGAACAAAGACATACTTTCCATTCTTCTGATAGATACAAATCATTTACAAAGCATCTCCCTGAGAAGAAAACATTTCAGCAGTCTAGTAATTTAAGCAATCATTTTCCGATAGGGATGGGGTGCAGGGAGGGAAGGTGTGGGAGACTGAGTGCTGTAGGTCTGCCAGCCTACGATCAGGAGGTGACTTCCTGTTCGTGATTGGTAAGGCTAATTACTGCTGATGAAGTGGAGTCTACTAGGTACAACAGGACAGGGGCTGCAACGGCTAACACCCACTTCGTCCGAGATGTTGTCGCATCTGTCTATCAGTCGCTGTCTCAGCTTGTACCCTCCCTCCCCCGGCTTCTCCGGCTCCGTCTCCTCCCCCAATATGAACTTCACCAGGGCATCCAGCAGGGCCGGGGAGGTTGTCATCTTGACAAACTTGACCAGGTGAGCTGTGCTGGTTAAAATGCCCACCTCTGACCTGAAGATGGGACAAAATATCAGTAGCAAGGCTGAAATTACGGCCTAGTAATTCAACCTGAGACACAGTGATTATGAATACCATGTTATGTCTCTGAGCAGGGCAACATCGAAACTGCTAACAACTATACAAAGGGCTTCCATAATGTTCGGTTGCACTTTGCATCAATCAGGCAAGTCTGTAAATGGGGTACCAGGGGCAGTGTTTATCTGTCAACTTGTCTTGAGGACAGGCAAAACCAAATTTGGAAAGTTCATTTGTTTTCCTGGTTTAAAAATTTACAAACCCCCACATACATACATATTTTACACTGGTGAAGAGGTCTTCACATTTCCTTCAAAAATCCTGGGTACAGTAGAATATGGGCTCCGATAGCACCAAGTGGCGTCAGTTTCACAACTCATCCTGGCGGATGCCAGAGAGCCCAACTGCGCTAAAAACCATGACCCTTGAACTTCTGTCTACGTAAAGAGATGCAGAAATGCATGAAGCCACTCACGACTGCAGCAAGAGCTGCTCCATGATGGGCACCAGGAAGCGCTCCCGGATCTGATTGGCTAGCGAGCGGCCAACGGTGGGATGAGCCTCCTTGATCACCTGGTCGCAATAGTCATACCAGGACAGTAGCGAGATGAGCTGCCGCTTACCGGGGAACATGTTGGTATCCTCCGCGTCGCTCTGCATGTACAAACTGCAAAAAGCGGTGGAGGTTGTACTTTGAATTATTTTCACTTCACTGTTCCAATTCAAGTTTGCGTTAATGTCAATTCAAAAGTTACACTGAAGCTGCATTAAATTTCATGAAGCTGCCGAGAAGGTAGCATAGGCAAACCAATTTCTGAGTTTGGCCCCCCTAAAGTTATGCTTCCTTTTCCCTACCTACCCTATTTTGACAGTGCGACCATAAAGTCTTTTGGGAAACAATTTTGGGAAAATGGGACATTGGTAATACGGAAAGTACAGCCGAAGACTGGGACTTCATTGTCGGTCAGACAGCGGAGTGAACAAAAATTGTTGGTTGGTAAACTGTTGGTTGGTGGATATGAGACCTCTCAAAATAAAGATTTGGTTTTTTCCACTTCTTAATGTGGAAGTTCGGTGGATCTGAGCACCAACTCTTGCCTAAACATGAGACTGGGTTCCAAATATTCGGTTAAACACTCACCCCCACTTAGCCTCCACGCTGTCCACATCCACGGGGTCCATGGAGAGGGGCAGCGCATTGTATAACGTGCACAGCCTTTCGGCCAGCAGCGCGCAGAACTGGGTGTGGTCCACGATGCACTGGGCAGCGTGCTTCTCCGGCAGGCTGGCGCACAGCATCAGGCCCTCGCACGCCTTGACAGCTATCCTACTGTCCTGTGAGTACAAAGACAAGGGCTAAGTCCAAAGACGAGCAGAAATAGAATTCTACGAAGTAAGAATATTAAAGACGTGGTTTTGTGTAAGATTAGCTATTGCAGATTGACCATGTCGGAGGGTGAAAACTGCCGCGTTGAGAAACCAGAGTGATTTTCCAAAGATTCCGTGCAGAGATTTCACGTTCTAGCCAATCAACAATTTCAGAAGGTATAACATCGTGAACTGGCCGGCATGGTTGCGCCTTCCCTTGTTTATAGGCCTTCAGATCTTCCTAAGGGGTGCTATTGTTGTTGTAGCAAGTCATTAACATAATTTGCATACTGAAGGAGTACCTGCATGGTGTGTTATTGCATAATTTTGTGTGGCGTACTGCTTTTGGTTTCTATTTTCTGTTTCCGCTCCCCCAAAAGAACTCCCAACAGGATTAAGACTTCTGATCAAAATTCCCCTGGAAGAAGACTGTGCTTACAGGGCTCTGTGCCAAGGCTATGAGGGAGTTGACTAGACTGAACTCGGGCTGGGTGACGTCTAGACTGGTTCTGCTGCTGCTGCTGCCCGAGCTACTTGCCACTGACGGGGAGGAGTTGTGTCTTGGCTTTTTGCTCTTCTGTCTTGGAAGCTGCCAGGAAGTTAACCAAAAAAGTACAAGCATGCAAGAACGGAAGCCCATTAAAAAGATACTTTACCGAAAGAGACATCATTGTCTTCATGATGAGCCTTACGCTAAGCAACATGTCGACTAACCTTATGTCAACAAGGATAGCTTTAGTATTATCTCAAGGTTGCAGTTGACTGGCCTTACCTCAAGGCAGAAGCTGACTAGCCTTACTTCAAGAATGAAGTTGAAAGGCCTCAGCTTGAGGAAGAGGTTGACTCGCCTTAAAATGAAGAAGTTGACTGGTCTTCCCTCAACGGGCAAGCAGACTAGTCTTACCTCAAGGAAGAAGTTGACGGAGTAGGGATGTTCCTTCAACTTGGAGCACACCGTGCAGAGGAACTGGATTTCTTCCTTCTCAGTGGGGCCCGCTCGCACCTCACCACACACTTTGATTAAATTCTGTCAGGTAAGCAAACAAAATGGGAATCACTTCATCAGTGAGTAGCCGAGGCTGCTGACGACAATGTCCATTCTTGGATGTGGTTTGAAACACCACACACTCTCTTCAGTATTTCAGATCAGTGGAAGCAAGTTGCAGCCTTACATGTACAGGTTTGTAGACGTTGACGTGCGGCAGGAGAGGTTGCTTGACCTTGCCGAGGAGGTTCAGGAAAAATGTCAGAACGACTTGCTTCATGCCGGGCGGACACTGCCAATGAAATACAACAAAACATCGAGTCAAATCTTACTGAGCCGGCAAAGCAAGTCAAATGGAGACACAGCTGCCAAACACAGATGTTTGGTAAGCAGAAAAATATTTGCTAAGGATAAACAGGTTACCAGCCAAACAGTCGTGGTATGTATACTGCATGCGACTGGTTTCCAGTTGATTTTCACCTTGGACGTAAACTTGTCCAGCAATATTTTCTTTGAGAAAATATGAAATTGTGTCCTGGTGGACCACTTATGATGTAAGGCCTTGACCCATCCTAACAGGCATATGCCTGCTTGAAGCATGTCTCTAATGTCCGCATTCCTTTGTTTTCATATGGTTAAGAAAACTCAGAGAAAAATGCTCATTTTTGTCCCACTACGATAACTCCTTCAAGCTGAATATTTGACAACTTCCTTGACAGTTCCTCTTTATTTTGCTGCAGATAACTCTGAACCCTGAAATGCCTCTAATCTGAAACTGTTTTTCAGAGGGGGGGAACACCTGTGTAGACCCGTGGAAGTCCACTTAGCATCTTCTAACCCTACAACATGTGGGCTTTTAGGCACATAGGGCTAGCACCACCCAGGGACACCATAGACCAAACGAACAGACGACGAGGCGACTTTATTTCTGTCTTTCTTACATCAGCCTTGCCCAACGTGTGCAGTGTCTCCAGGATCTTGTGCTGCAGTAGGTACTCCATGCAGGGCCCCGTCTGGTCCTCTTCCATCTGCCGCTCCTCCTGCGTCAGCAGGGCCAGCATGTTGTTCAGGTGGGAGGGGATGTTGCTCTCCTGCACCGGCTGCTTGTCATCTGAAAAAGACAAAATCAGAGAGAGAGAGAAAAAAAAATTAACTCTCAAGCCACAGAAGTGTCCAGATAATCTCGTCTAAACACCTGAAGGGCAAGTTGAGCAAAGAATAAGGCTGAGCAAATTTCTTGTCCAAGCAATAGATCAGCAGAGTACCAGCTACAGGTCATATACACAGAATGGCATTTTGGCTGAGACCAGCTTTCGCTAGGTTAATACTAGCAGTGTAACAGTTTTATAGTTTCTGTGTAGGAAGCTCCTGGACATTAGCCCTACTTCAACATTATCTGTTGAAATGTCTGGATGCCATTTCTCATGACCACGTCATTTACAAGTTATCAGGGGAAGAAGAACGTTCAATGAGGAGCTACATTCAGGTGGATCGGAAATAAATTTGCAGCTAATACATACTAACTGACAGTGGCTGGACTGAAAAGATAACTTTGAAACCTGCCAAGATATATTTACTGCCTTACTATCATATGCATGTACAGAACACTTTCTACCATGAACAGAGCCTGACAAACGGTTGTGAGGTTTTCTGCTAATATATGTACAGTGTTTCTGGGATCTATGTATTTCTTGCATCAATGTTACAAGGCATATTGGTAATATTGGTAATGTGAAGTGTAACACTGTCTCTTAAACAGCTCTCCCGTTGAGAATGACAGGGCTAACTTCAGCTTTCAGCACCAACTCACCTTTGGTGTTGATGAAGTAATGTGTGACGGCCTTCCAGTGAAAGGTGAAATCTTCCAGAAGGGTCTGGGTAGGAGCGAGCTGTGCAGTGAAAGCAGTCACCAGAAGATACTTCAAACCACATGCAGAGTTTTTGCATTCTTTTCAAGTTTAAGAACAATTTTGCCATTTTTACAAAATGGGTTATGCAGGGTTCCTCCACCTACAAGGCAATTAAATTCCATGACTTTTCCACGACCAATTTATGAAAATCCATGACCCAATAATGCATTTTCTTGGACTTTTCAGACTTTTAAAGTTGCGAATAAAATCACGCATTATATGCACTTATTTCCAATGATAGAAATCACACACAGTGTTTGAAAAATTCCATGACTTTTCCATGACCTTAGTTATTTTTTACAAAATTCCATGACTATTCCAGGCCTGGAAAAACAAACAAATTTCCAGGCCGCAGGAACCCTAGTTACGGCAAAACCTGAGAGTTGCACCAGTGACAAAATGTGTAGTATCCTCTTTCCTGTTTTCTGGGGAAGAAAATTACCCACTGTATTGACAAGGAACACACAATAACGCAGCACACAGCACCACCGAATGCACCCAAACCATATCCACATGATTAAACCTAATGGTCCTCAATGCTTCACCTGTTAGAGGAGTAAGGGCCATTAGGGTTAATGAAACTGTGTTAAGAAACTTTAGGATGTGTGACGGAACAAAACAAAAGCATTTGAATCGGCTTTGACCAATGACCAGGCACAATGACAAATTTCACAAACATTGCACACATCTGTTTGTACTTGGTTAGAATGTAATTTTACACTGACTTCAGCAATCAAGGAAACTGTTTCATTTCAGAGACATAAAGCGGACACTATACAAAAACAAAAGTCACAGAATTATATTTCTCTTATCTGAAATTTGATGAACAAGAATTGTACTTTTGGTCACGAAACAGCGACCAATCCGTATGATTATGAACGTTGAGCTGTAATTTGGTTTTGCCTTTGCCATAACAAGCAGTCAGAGGCATGTCTGATTTGATCAGATCAAAAGCCAACACAACATGGGTGCTTGACACATTTATGCTCAAGGAAATGCAGAGAATGAGTTCCAGAATTTTAAGCCTCAATCCCCCGATGTCTGTGCTGAGAGAAAGTCTGAATTCCCCAAATCTCCACCATGATCCAGTTGAACTTGCTGCATGTTTTCTGAAATATTGTCCTACCACAGAGCAAGGTCTAACAAACAATCGCCCTTTGACAAAACTACTAAACAAAGTCCCAGGTAAAGACTTAATGGCTGTGCCATGCAGCCATCACTCCATAAAAATACATGTGTACTGCTCAGTGCTTAGGCCTCAGCCAGGTGTTGAATTTTGGAGAATTAAGGGTGGTTAAGGTACCAAAAAATAACAATGAAAACAATCCAGGCAGCCGCAAAAGCAAAGCCAAGTCCTGAAAGCAATTAAAAAAACAAAAACAAGCAAAGGCCGTGACAGACTTCAACCACATTGCCAAATAATTACTGTTTATTCTGCCCTATCCCACAACCACTATGCATAATTGTGAAGAAAAAGGTTTCTGTTTACCAAATCTGACTCGCCCAACTGCAGTAAAAAAAAACACACACGGAAAAAAGGTCATTCAGAGGAAAGAATCAATAAGTGCAAGTACCAAATCAAATTGGATTGTTCAGTCATGGGTAGCAACGAGTGCACATTGATTCAAAGCAAAGGTTCCAAAGGCAGACATATTATTCCTGTAGCAAACGGTGCTAGCAAGTTGTTCCACAGTAGAGGCTGGTTCATGCTACAGGCGAATGCAAAAGCGAAGGGAATTTAACATCACTAAAGATTTGCAGAGAAATTTTGCTCGAGTTCAAATAAGTTCAACTTTTGCGAAGTTGAAGCGCGAATATTTGATCTGACGTCACAAATTCGTGTTTGTGTTCGCTTTTGTGCGAAGTATGAACAGGCTTTCATGTAACCATGTTCCACTCTGCGACAATATCATTTGAACAACAAATTCAGTTAAGTATGCAATAGCACTGGTGCTGCTTGCAGCTAGTTGGACGTTGACAGAAACGCTTGAGAAAACAATCGACGCATCACATCGAACCTTGTCACGCTACGCACTGAATATTTGATACCCCGAACGCATCACCAATGCTGAACTGTATCGTAGATGTAAAGTCAAACCAGCATCAATAACGCTTCGCAAACAGCGCCTACAACTGAAAGGACATGCTCTCATTGCTCCTGGACAGAAACAACCAACAGAACCATGCCGTAGAGGCGGCGCACTTGTGCAAACCTACATGTACCAACAACAACTTTCTGATAATATGGCGATTGTTGGAATCAGCCTCAATCTGTTACAACAAGCCACTTTGAAGGCCGAACAATGGAAACGGACAATTCACGTATTATGTTAGCCACTGATCAACGCCCATTCGCTGCTGGTGCACTGGCGTCACCATGATGATGATGCTTACAGTGTTAAGATTGATATTTATAACAGAGATGCTGACAGCAACATGTACTTCTAGGCGGTACTTGTTTATCAACGACGAAGGGAAAAGTCCCAAATACGGACAACACTAATTCTCCCTTAAAATGTTATAACAACCATCAGAAAGCGATAACATGTCAAAAAAGTGAAAATTAACTATCAACTGATATTTTTCACAAAATAAGGAGGGCCTGACTTTTTTTTGGATAAAACTGATATTTTTGTGAAGTTATCACTTTAGTATCTAGTAAGCTAAGGCTGCATCCGAATCTCTTGACTAGAGCTAGGTCTAGGTCTTCACTCCATTGGAAATACACAGAGACATGCTGAAAACAGACCTAGTCATAGCTCTGGAAGCCCATTTCAGACACGACGTAAGTTAAATAAAGGCCTGTATATACAAGTTTCAGGCGAATGCAAAGTAAATTTGACATCATGACAACTTTGTGGTGATATTTTGCTCCAGTTGAAATGTGTTCTCAACTTTACGAATTTGCAACGTGAACATTTGATCTGATGTCACAGATTCACTTTCGCGGGAAGTATGAATCATAGGCCTACTTGGCATGAATGTGGTGAAAGCAAACACAAGGCAGCACGAATTTGTGACATCAGCCATGTATTAAAAAATTGTAAGCTCCAAATCCAATATGCTCTCTGCAAATTTGCAAAGGTTAAACATATTTTATCTCAAATGAAATTTTGCTGTAAGTCTTTCGTAACGTCAAATTTGCTTTGCTTTCACATTCGCCTGAAGTATGAACCGGCCTTCATCATGTAGCCTACACACTGGTGCACTGCACTGGTTTATATCATGCCTCTGACTCTGTGTGCGTAGGCCCTAGGACATAATCGTGCATGTCTTGAATGTTCGTTTATTATTAATAATGTCGCAGTCTTACCACTTCAACTGCATGGTGCAGAGCCGCAGTAAACCTGTTGAACATTCTCAATTCTCAAGTATTCTTCCAACCAGCTTTCTGACACTGCCTGATATCACGATTTGGGTTGAATTAGCATGATTTTTCTTATTAAAACATCTGCATGTCGCGAGAGTCTCTCATCATACATGATCAAACAGCTGGCAATAAAAACTGCGCATGCGTCAACCTGTAGGCTTTTCCGCATTAAAGGAATTGCCATCTAAAGTAAGTCGTTGCAAACTAACGACAAACATTGTTTTTCTTGAGGCTACCGTTCTTATCTATATGAGGTTATGGTCAAAATATTAAATTTAACTGTTTTATGAAACACGTGTCATGATTTAGGAATCTGTTTCAAAATTTTGTGACAAAATGATTCGAAGCCTCTAATTCACATTAAATGACTGTTCCTTTAATCAGTGCCTTACTCGGGAGCTATTTCATGCAAAACCAAAAGGCGATGGCAACAGTCGTTGAAAATTTTACGATACCAAAATGGCGACCCAAAAAGGTTCCTTGAAAAATCGCGCAGCTCTGAATCCAAACATCTCCAATTTCAATGGCCCATCAGCGGGACAGACCGCGAGTTCAGCGGGAAAACCGGCCAAAGAAGCGGTAGGAGTCTTTGACTTGATTCCAGTGAATTTGTTTGAAATATAGAAACCAAAATGTAACGTTAGGCTTCTGCAACTTTTATTTTAGGCCAAAGCTAGGCCTAATTCAAAATTGTGCAAGTCTGACTCCATGTCTGAATTTAAGCTAGATAGCATTGAGGGTCAAAGGTCAAGGCGAAGAAAGTAGGGATGGGTGGAAAGAGCTTTATGATCATTATTTACCAGGGAGTAACTTAAGAGTGCAGGGCCACGCACGAATTTATCATGTTTTTATACCCTCAAGAATCACCGCTACAACATGTAGGCTTAGGTAGTAGGTAGGGCCTACAATGTGTCGCGTCGGATCGGAGTCGAGTGACTCTGGAAAGAAGACGAAAAAATTCCAAATCGAGTTTACGATGTTGAAAGAGTTCTTTTTGAGAATGAAGCAACACATACTGAGAGGAGATGGCCAAAATATCTAAGTCCAAACCGAGTGGCCCTGTTTTCTATAGTTGTAGCCCTACCTTTCCGAGGAATAAAAAGAGCAATCCATACTGCATACATCACAACAACATTAAGGAGTACGTAAAAACACATAAAATATATCAACATTATAACAAGATAAAAATTACAGGACAGAGGACCAAAGACCAAAACAAGAATAAATTGATACAGGATTACTAAAGTGGGAGTCAACTTAATTACTATCAAGTAGCTCTCCTGATCATCATGGGTGATTGTAGTGATAAACCTAGGAATGCTTTTAATGAATGGATTTTTGCCCCTATACTGTGCCATAGGGCTGTATGTAGTTCAGGCGGAATCTAGAACTTTGTTGCATTTCTGCATGGCAGAGCAATTAGCATGCAGCAGCTTGCAAATATGAGTGAAACAAAAAGTGTAGAGGTGTCCGCAAATAAGGATTTGCATTTTGCCGTCGGTTGTATTCTTCATTGTGGTCTTGGTCTCCATCATCTCCTTTGGTTATTTTGCCAAATAATATACTGACTTTTATTATTTTTTACTCCGTTGTGCAGGGTGGAAGTGGCACAGGACTGCTCATGTCAGTCATCCGAACATTGTCAGCAAGGTGAGTGAATAACAGCATAGCGAATAAGAAATTAAGTCCTTTTAGGGCCACCATAGCTTGTTTTGCCCGATTTATCACATGACAATCGGCTGCGTCTTTCTTTTTGCAGTGAGGACCTCCACCAGAGAGAAGTTGAGAAGGCCAAACTAGAGAAAGCCTACCGGGAGTGTGACCAGAGGTTGGATAAACTCATCTCAGGTTGGTGGAGTTTCCGAGTGGAAAAGTTCTGAGTTCCAAAATTTCTGATGATGAAATCGTATATATCAAGTTCAAAGGTTCTTTCAAAATTCTTTCTTAGTGGGAGCTGCAAGAGGGTATTACTGTGGTTGGTGAATGATTGAGGACTGTTCTGGGTTAATTTTGAATTTGGAAAAGGAGCATTACTGCATTTGCTGTACAGACATTGTTTGGTAGAGTATGCATGTTGTGGACAAGATGCTGGCCAGCTTTACATTCTTGTAGGAAAAAAATCCCCTCTTACTCGTCATTAGTCATCACTCCCACTGTTCTTGTCACTTGTGAACTTTGTGTCATCTCTGCCAGTTAATTACGACACCCTGACTAAGACCATCCAAGCCTACAGCGCCATCTCTGGCCGTATCAAGTCTGCGCGGGAGCGGGTCAAGAGCCTCAAGTCAGACCTGCTCTCCTGCAAAGACCTGCTGCACTGCCGGCGGGACGAGCTTCGCAAGCTGTGGCTAGACGGGATGGAGCAGAAGCACGTGCTGACCCTGCTGGATCAGATGTAAGTTGAGTGATAGGCCCTGTTTAGTCCTTGTGCCCGATGTGGCCCAAGGGGATTGTGGCTGGTCCGGATGGAGCAGTAGCACGTACTGGCCCAGGTGGATCAGATGTACGTTTATAATCCTCATTCTGGATCTCAGCGGAAGAAGTTGCAGCTAGATTGGATGGAGTCAAAGCATGTACACACATGCATTTTTGATATTTAAGTTTTTGTTTTCCTCCTTGTATTGGATATGATTGAAAGTAGTAAATTAATGGCCGAGGATGGAACAGAAGCTTGTTTGCCCAATTGAGCAGATGCCAGTTGGACCTATTACTTAGCTACCCTGAAGGAAACTGGGTTTTCAGCCAATGTTAAGCTAGATCAGGTAGTTATACGCGTAACTGCAGAATGGTCTTCCACGTTTGTTCGTGACGACTGTGGGTAATTTTTCACAGCGAGGAGGTGAGAGGTGTTCCCCAGCAACTGGATGGCTACCTGAAGAGCAAGCACTATCTGCATGCTACCGAGCTCATCACCAAGACCGTGGCCCAGCTAGAGAGTGACCTCAAGGGTGTGGAGGCCCTCAGTGAACTCAAGATGGAGATGTCCACTCGCAAGGAGGTGAGTACTGTCCTCAGATGTATGAGGACTACTTCAGTCCTCGTATGTCTGAGGACTGCTTCAGTTTTCATATAGTCTGTCAGAAGCACAGTTTGGGTAATTGGAATGCATACAGTTATCTCACCTGAGACTGTATGTGTGTATAACACACTTTCCAGATATTAGTTGGCCCTATTGGATTGAGAGTGAGGTTGGTTAGCTTTTCCATTTTAGGAACCTGAAAATAGACTGGTTCCTGTCCCGTACATAGTCTCTGAACGTAGGGACTGGTAGCAACATTTTAAAAAATATATGAAAGTGAGGCATGGAATACAAAGTAGTCTGGCACCACCCCATTGGACATGTTACCTTGAATAGGATAGATTCAGGGAATATGATCAGAAATGGCTTCCTTGTGAATATGGTCTATTGAGTGGTCTGAGGTGTTGTTCATTCTGTAGCAACTACACAAGGTCCTGATTGAAGAGCTGAGCCAGCACCTTTACGAGAAGTCAGCTGTGACGTTCCAGGTCAACTTCACCCGTGGCGGGTCATTCCGCGGCTCAGGCCAGGACACCTCGGTTGCTGGCAGTAAGAAGCAGACCCTGCTGGAGCTGGCCACCTTGGCTAAACAGCAGCAGCGGGTATCCAGGACCCACTCGCATAGCCGTGAGTATGGACGTTTTTCTTCTTTTTGATGGGTGGAGCTTGGTATGGGATGCAGAAAGGGGAAGAGAGTGTATAGACGCAAGGTACACTTACTGTATCTGTGGTGACGGAGATATAACAAACAGACACATTGCCTCTGTGTACCAATCCCACATGCAGCCCCTCCATGTTTGTGCATATTCTGGCGAAAATAAATCAGTTGGCGTTCTTTGCATGCTTTGTATACTTTTCGAGCAAAGCAGCACACACACATGTGTACTTTGCACCGGAGGTGCCACTTGTAACTATGCCATCTTCTGCTTTTTGCTTAAAGTCTGTAATGCAGATTTTCATTTACTTTTTGGATCACTTGATTTCATTGCTTTTGGTTGTAAGGATAGATAAGACAATCTTTAGGATTGTTTGAATATATCTTTTAATGTCTGGATCTGTGATGTAAACATACTACTGTCGTCCCTGCTCATAAACTCTCACCATTCCATAGAGTGTTCAAACTTGAGCCCAGCTACGCTCGTGTTAAACTCAGGTTCCAATGGCAGTGTTGTTGTTGGTTCCAAGGGCAGTGTTGTTGTCGAGTCCATTGCAGGTGCAGTTGCAGATAAGTCACAAGTCAACATACTAACTTCAGGTGTAACAGGAGATGTGCCCCTGATTCTGAGGTCATGCGAAAAGTTTATGACTTGACTTGAAGTTGGATGACCTGTTGTGTGAACTTGCGATGGACTTGATTGTAACACAGCCCAGGGGTGTGAAAAATCTCTGCATCAATATGATATACGGCCTCTTGCCATCAGTGACGCTGACTGTTCCGGACGGGACAGAGGAAGAGAGCAAGCCAGTCGTGGAGGATCTGAACGAGGACCCAGAGGCAAATTCAGAGCACTACATGGCTGTCTTGGTGGAATCGTTGTCCCTGCTCAAACGGATACCAGAGGCGGTTGAGGTTCGCGTTTTACTTTGCAAAAGTTCCTTGCCAGTTTTAAAAATCTAATTGGATCTTCCAGGAGAACATCTCATTTTTCCGATGGTGTCATTGCCAAAAACTGTCACGATTTTTGACTGGAAGTTGAACAGATTTTTGAAAGAGATGATAAGTCCTTAACTTATGAATTTTGAGGGGAACTATTTGTTTTTCACAGTTAGCAAGAATGATTGATTGACTTAACCACTTCAATCAAGGTATTTCCTTGATGATGTAATTGGTTTAAATAATTTCTCCTCTGCATCAGTCCATCAAGCGATGTGTGCAAGTGGAACTCTCTAAGATAGTGCAAAGGACAACGACAGAGGTGGCTGAAAAGTAAGAAATTTGTTTCAAATCTGTTGTCTTTGTGCAGACTTGTAAACAGTCGACACATTACGTCTTCTACAAAAAAAACTGAAAATAACACAGAAAAATTAATTTCTTCTCGAGGCAAGCCAATTCAATTTTCTAATCAGCCTGGCTGATTTTTCTTTCACAATCCTGCCCGTGCTTTGCCTGTCGTAGAGTTTTTGTGTTCTGTATTTCTTTTCTCTAAATATCAGCAGTGACAGTCAACTCAAAACATTCAGTGCCTTGATACTGTTTATTGTTGAAATCCATTCTCTCTTTACTATTTTTGATCGGCAGTGCCAAGCAGCGGGGCGAGAACATCACCCAGCACAACCAGCCCAAGCTGCTGGTTGAGCTCCTGGAGTTGCTGTTTGAGCGGTTCCACTGCGTTGCCAGTGCACATGAATGTGCGCTGGGGTCTCTCCAACGAGCGGCAGTAAGAGAGCCAAGTCGATTTTGCCAGGATTTGTCCCGATGCCAGGATGTTTCAAACAATCTGTTTTTAAATTAGGATTTTCCAAAGTTTACCAATATGAACTTATGACGTGTGAAAAACTGATAAAGAACACCAAGTGATGGGTATGTCAAGGGGTGCCTATGGGACCCTCAAAACCTTTTGGGATTATTTTGTGGATTTTGTAATTTTCCACCAATCTCACCCTTGAGTCAACGCACACATACACATAACCGACAGGGACAAACTCCTTGAACCAACATGTATTGTAGTGGCAAACTTGCCTTAGAGTCACGATATCTTCTTTCTTGTCTCTTTGCCACGTATGTGAGAAAGATATGAAGAATTTACGTTTGCAGTACTTTCTGACACCCATGTACATATTTAAGCTGTCTTTTCCTAGTTGCAAAGTGTGGATGAATTTTGTTGTATCGCCTTTTGCAGGCTTCGATCTTTACAGCGGCCACTGCCGCGATGCCCCAGTGAAATGCCGTGATGCCCTTTAAAAATAGCGGGTACCTTTCGGCCACTTGGCCGGTGTGCCCCTCCTCAATTATTAGTAGGCCTACAATTACATGTATTCAACTTTCAAGTTATCGTTTAGTGCTAGCATTTCTGTCAATGGCCGGCAGCCGCACTGAGCACTTTTTTTCACGGACTGGTTTTGCATCGCTCAGACAGCATGTTATGGCAACCATATCAACATACTAGAGTTGTGTGACTCTAAAAATGTGGCACCAGACTACTTTTATACATAGACTGGTTACAAGTCGCGGCACAGAATTACACATTCTGCACCGATTGGATTCTGTACATTGCACATATTAAGACCGAGTCGCTGTTTCTTTGGGGGGGGATTGCGGATGGGAGTATGACCCAGTCTATTTTTTTCCTCACAGTTTTACTGGTATTCACGCGGGCGCTGGGCATGAAAGCGGGCTTCTATTGGGTAAATGTTTGTGACCCAGTGACCGACTTGCTTGAATTACATTTTTTGTGAGTCGTTACATTGATTTTTGAAATACAGTGTTGCCTTTATGGCATCATGAAAAGTAATCAGACACAACACAAAATGGTAAGTTAAAAGTACCGTATTATTTATTTTTTATTTCTACAATTTAAGCAGACTGCTCAGCATGTGAACAGAAACAATGAAAAATGTAGGTTGAAAGTTAAACGCCATGTTGAAATCAAGGGAAAGTCTGTTGAAGTCACCAACAAGCATGATAAGTAAAAGTGGCCTTGGAGCCCTTTCAGTTGGCCTTGGTGCCCTTTGGTTTTTGGGAGCATTCAAGGCCAAAGTGGCCTTGATCCTCTGAAGCGTAAGGTTGAAGCCTGCTTTTGTAATTAGCGTTGTTCATTATTTTTTTGTTGCAGACAAGTGACATTCAGCTTTACACGATGAATGACATCTGGTCCAATATACAGACAGTTGTAAGTGGTGATGTAAACACCTCTTGAACTCTAACCCTGCCAGAGGCAGCGCAATGCATCAGGTGAAAAAGTCTGGTGCACTTTGTTACACTTGGCAATCAACAGCAGCCTAACAAACCGGCCGTGTTGAGGCAATGGGAGCTAGTCCCATTGAACATAGCCACTGTTGGATCTTGTGGTGACTGGCAACCACAGACTCCTAGGCTGTTTGGCCTTGGGGAGAGTTTAACCTGTTGGATCTTGTTGCACTGAGCAGGCAAGCCACTTTGACAAATGATGCAGTCTGATGCTTCTGGCAAGGTTTCCAGCCAAAGTACCCTAGGAATGTCAGGGTTAACGACGTGCTCAAGCTCATTTGTAGATTCCACATATGTCCTTCTTGTATTATATGTTATCACTGCGTTTACACTTGATCCGGCGAGGAGGATCAGATCCGGCGCGGGGGATGAGGTCCGGATCAAAAAAGTGTGTAAACGCAATGCAGGATCAGATCCTGATCCCAGGATCTGATCCTCCTCTCGGGAAGAATCAGATCCAGTTCAGATCCTGTGCGCGGGATCAATTTGTAAGTGTAAATGCAACGCTGGATCAGATCCCGGAATTTGACGTAACTACTTCTGGTGCAAGTCTTGAAGTGAGCGAAAAACAAGTCTGTGTCATTGTGAAGACCTACATGTCATGTATACGTACATGACATTGTATACGCACCATACATACGCTGTTGGTCCGGCCGCTACGTACATAACCAGCATTATGCTGGTTCCCAATTAAGCCCATGTGCTTTCGTCCTGTGAGTTGGTAGTAAACTGGTACTTGCCCATTCCCATGCTTTATCTGTGTCGCCTTTAGTGGCTTTCATTACTGCTGTATATCACTGATCCAAAACCTTCCATTTCCCCATTTTTCATCGTTTCATCTGAAACTACGTAAGATAAGACGAGACATATATACAGCGCATAAGTACACGTAATACTGGCTGACGTTTTGTTCCAGTGCGCATAATCAGTGAACTGTTCGCATAACCTTTGGCCTAAGGTTGCAGCGCTTCATCGATGCCACGCGGGATCAGGATCCAGTGTAAACGCGGCACGGATCTGATCCCCTCGCGTGATTGCTCTCGCCGGATCTGATCCTCCTTTGCAGGATCAAGTGTAAACGCAGCGTATGTGTCTACCCAGCTGGTTGTGTGCTAGCTAGTGGCCTGTGGGACAAGTGTGTGTGTGGCCTGGAAATAGTCAGGTTCCTCAAGTAGATAAGAAACCTAATGAGGGATGCTGTAGTGCATAGCGAGTCAGTCAGGTATTTCAATAATGCGTGCTCAAAATGAAACGTGTGGTTGGTCATTCAAGAACATCAGTGAAGACAGACTCATATGCAGTAGACATGATCAAGCTGAGGTGACGCCATGTGCTTTGTTTCAAAAGACCATGCCTTTACGAAACGCCGAACTGGCTGAATATTTTCTGGCTGTAGTTATTTGATTAATTTCTCTTGCTCGTTTTGGTTGGACAGTTGCAAGTGCTTTTGGGTAATTACCTGGACGTACGGAACATAACGGCCTCGGTGCAGCAGTCTTCCAGCGCGTTCAGTGAGGCTCTGACGTAAGTCCTCCGTCCCAGGTTTGCGGCATTTCATACGATGCCGTAACAACTGAATACCACTCATTCAAAGAAGAGATAGCTGACCTTGTAGAAAGTTGCCAGTGTAGGCCTTAGATTGTTATTATTTCTTGAAATGAAACCCAAGTTTCCTCAAAAGCGCTCCTTGGCACCATAGCTTGCAAGCAAGGACAAACCTGTAGTAGAGAATAGACGAATAGAAACAGCTTCATGGGTGGGTGGGAAACCCCAGAAGAATGTTCTGGGTGAAACCTACGGAGTCAGGTAGGGACTGAAAATCCAATCTGCATGGTAGCCTTGACGGGTTTCGAACCCAAGCCATGAAGGTGAAAGATGAGGAATGCGCAGTCAGGGGAGTACTGTCGCCATGGGAATGGTTGTCTTTGGATGCATTGCCTTACTAAGAGAGGGTGCCTTGTTACCTAGCAACAACATCCTTTAGTACTGAAACACCTCCTGCGCATACTGGCTTATGTTCGTGTGACGCAAAGTGGCTGGTTTTTAGCCATGTGCTGTATGTGCAAACACATTGGTCTTTACCCAATGTATTCACACACTGTGAAGTATCCCCTAACTTCTCTCTTCTTCACTTGTGAAGGGGCAGCTTGTGCACGGACCCCACTGGCTTTGTGCAGTAACTGTTTCTGGCACAGTGCGGCCTACCCATGACTTCAAAGTGAATGCAATTGCTTTGTAGCATTCTGTTTGATAACATTAAAAAGCCTGAACCAAATTGAACAGACATTCTTAATCAAAAGACACGCCGAATGACGGTTTGTCCCCAGGGAAGTGCTTTCTTTATTTGCAGGTTTCTCTTTATTGAGGGAGGGGTTTTTGTTGGGGGTAGGTCTAACCGCAGCTGTCGTCCTCTATAACTTTGACCCCTAGGGTGTTTGAAAAGTCTGTAAAATTGGCAGTTGAAGACACTAAACCTAAAAGGCTCATTTGAATGAACTTTCAGTTTTTGGGGGGTTTTTTTGTGTTTCTTCTCTCAGCAGTGACTACGGAGTGTATTTCAGCCGACGTAAAGCGGTGCGGCAGAGGAAAGTTCCCCTGTTCCGCTTTGAGATGTCCTCCCACGCCATCAGCCTGACAAACTACATGCGGGAGCAGAAACAGGAGTACTACGGATTTGTAAGTTTGCCTCGGTGGAGTAGTAAGCCTTGATGCTGTGATGTTTGCCTGGGCAGCTTCCGGCCAGCCAGCACATGACCCCCAACAGTGGTATTGCGTGATTGGGCTAGCTCTCACTATCTCAGTACTGGCAGTTTTTCTCGGCTGCTGTTGACTGCCCAGTGCAACAACGTACGCGAGACTTTTTACACTGGCTGCACCGTGCTGCGTCTTGCAGGGTTTGGGTTAATGTGTTCCGAAATTTTCCTGGTGCATGATAGCCCATGAAGTGGGATCTCGTTGCATTTTTCTGAAATGTTGAAATGCTCTATACTCTACACTTTGAAGCAAGCTTATATGCGATTGTCGCTGAGAGTTTAGCAGTGCCTTTACGCTCTGCCAGTTACGCTTAGCAGATGTAATTCAGGCAGCAGAAGTGAACTTGCAAGATGTGCTAAGTTGTTATTTCTTTAAATCTTGAACAGGACGGCATAATGAAAGTCAAAGAACCTACAAAGGTTTGAATTCAAATTCACAGTTTTTTACAGTTCCTTCTTGATATACATGCGAATGGTTAACATGGTTAAAGTGGTTATAGTTGGTTAGTTTACTAATATGTTTTGGTTGAGGGTTCTCTTAAAATGTCACTGGTTCGTTCCTGAAGTTCTTGTTCTTTTAACATGTTGTCAAGGGCATTTATTTAACATGTTTCTTGGGCTGTTCACGGAAATACTGTTTGGACCAACATTCATAAAAGGCTTTCAGGTTTTAATGCACTGGTGAAGGAACCACAGCTTATTGGAGTCTAACTGGTTAGTTTTGAGTAATCCAAACCATGGTTGACCAAACAAACCAGGTTAAATGATTATAAATTTGCCTTGTGACAGATTTTAAGTAAGCTCTACTTGTTTGGGTATATGCAGCTGAAGAAAGTAATTTTTTCTGCTATTTTATCACGATAACTAGACTAACCTTGTTTGTAATCATTCTTGGTAGTACACATAACGATCTAGTTTTACAATTCCTGTGGCATGAGTCAAAGGTGTCAATACCAGTTTCAGGGAACACTAACTTCAAAATTAAGAAAGGAGAGCTGAAATGAATTTCCTTCACTATGCTATGCACCATGTGGTATAAGGGTACTGCACTATGTGAGCACATTCAGCTCTGCACATGTCACATACGACCCACACTTTACTGCATGTGTTTTGAAAAAAGGATGGAACATTCCAGACGGAGGACGAGAAGGAAGGGGAGGAGGCACCCATGGTTTGTAAGCCCAGCGTCAAGAACATCACGCTCATCTTCAAGCCCGTCAGTAACTTCATCCGGGACATCGACAGGGCCATGAGTCTCCCAAATGGGTATGGCTGCTATAACGGCCATCCAGAAAGATAGTCTTGTTTCTTGGGGACATGGATGTAGTCATTTGAAAACATAGCTTTGCTTTTTGGGGGCTTGAGATACTCACGAGTTTCCTTGGGTGCCATAGTGCCAATTCAGAAACTAGCCTTGTTTATCATATCCACCCCAATCAAAATATAAAGAGTTAAGTTTTGGTTCTCATTTTTGAAAAAATGCAGTTCTAGCCTGTAATTAGCTGGAAAGTTGGGTGCAGTCACTACCTTTGGTAAACTTCATGAGTTTCAAACAAATTCTTTTATTTGGTCTGTCTAAAGATGGAAGAATATGTACCCGTCAGCACATGTTGGACGGCTTAAAACCAGGCGTAAGACCTTTGTCCAGTTGCAGCTGGTCTGGCCAAGTTACTCTAAAAGTTAGCCGGTTCCTGTCAAAATTATGCCCCTTTGCTCTTTTTAGGCGCCATTGCACTCTGCACGAGTTCATCAGCGACTACGTCAAAGATATCTTCCTGGGTCACCTCCTGGACGAGATCGCCACTAACCTGAACACGGCCACCAAAGGTAACGCGCTGCCTTTTGACCCCTGTAGAGAGATATACAGAACTTGGCAAAAGCTGAGTTTGTACTAACTGTCCACAGCCTTCCTGTATGCAGCACCTAGTCACGTAGTGTTCATGATGGTTCAGGACCCCACAGTCTGGTCACTGTTACTTTCCATTCGGCATGATGGCCCACCCATGTTTGAATACCACAAAAGTGCTGTTAGTTTTGTCTCCCTAGCGAGGATGTAGAGGAAATTAAGATTATTGTTATGTCTACAGTTCGATGACAAATTACGCCAGAAGTCATCAGAGCCACTTTTGAGATAAAGACCTTATAAAAAAATTTGAAGCCTGAACACTTTGTCATCTTGTGAGGAATGAAGGTACGTTTTCTTTTTTTGAAAGGATGCCAGAACTGGCGAGCCATTCATGCCACAGTACCAATTGGGGAATTACATGTAGCTCGTTTAACCGATACTGTTACGAGTTGAGGCCAGAATTGTTAACCCATCAATTTTTGGACATCCTGCAATATCAGTACAGTTTTTCCCACACACCCTAAGGGGGTCAGGGTTGAAAGAAATTGAAGAAGCAGCATCGAAATTCAACTGTCACAACATTGCTACTGACATTTTGGCCTCTCGCTTTACATAGGGGGCGACGCCCTGAAGTCCCTCGTGGACAACGCCACCCAGAAGTCGTTGGGGGCACCCCGTCCCCTGCTGCACAGCACAGTCATCATCGACCACGCTGTCTCGGACCTGCGGCAGCTGATGATGGATCTGCCCACCTACGCCGACCAGTTCCTCAACATGATCTGCAACATACTGCAGGAGTACAAGGACACCTGCAGCGCAATCTACAGAGGTACCACAGTTTGATTTCTGTTCATTTTGTCCTTAGTACACTGAAACTTTGCTAAGCTGTTTTCTCTTGCTAGGCAAGCCAACAACACTCAATCAAAAGGTAGTTAGGAAACAGGTGATCAAGTTTTAGCTTAGCAGCTGTGCAAGAGATGCAACTGGTAGATATAGATGAAATATCATTTTATTTTAATATGTTGATTTCAGGAAAGGGAACCTTAGCCATCATGTTCTCCTTTGGTTAGACTTGGTGGTTTTAAGATCCAAATGCAAATTTGATCATGGGTTGGAGGTGACTCTGATTGGGAAAGCACAGCACTGGCAAATTGCTGTAGACTTCTCTGAAGAGCACGCGCACACTTCGGCAAGTCACAACATCCTATTGGTCAAAGAGGAATGTGGCATGTATGTGCCAACCTCATGCAAACTAGGCGTCACTGCATTAACGACCTCCTGCAGGTGTATGAACTAGTGTACAAAGTTCACATTTGAAGAAGCAGTCTCACTTTGTCCTTGAGCAGGCCTGGTGCAGCCCGAGTCGGAGGACAAGCGCATCGTCAGCGCCAGCTGGGTCAAGGACGAGGACATCAACCAGTGCCTACGCCAGCTACCCAACTGGGTCAACCTGCAGGCCCTGAGCAAGCCGGGCAAGGACAGCAAGGACAGTGGCGCGCTGGAGACTATTGAAGACATCAGGGAGAGGAACGCCAAGGTAAGCGGCGTTTGGGAGGGCGATGGAAGAGGGGACAGAATTAACCCCAACTCCTTCTACTCGCCATGTTTGCTAATATCCTTCCTGAATTCTCCTTATCGGTCATTCTGCAAGAAACCAGGACTACATTGTGTTGCCTTAAACTTTCAAGGCACATCATGTCTCACTTGAATGAGTGATGCTGTGGACTGTATCTTACAAAGTCAGACCCTCCCAGATGTCCTGGTGGTTTGAAACATCTTGGTGTGTTATACTTTACAAATTCAGTCAAACCTACCCAGATGTCCTGGTGGTTTGAAACATCTTGGTGTGTCATACTTTAATAGTGGAATTTCAGTTTTGATAAGTGGTTCAGCTTTTGAAGCTATGGAAAGCTTGATGGATGGCTCTTTAAAAACTGGATGATTATTATTTCTGGAATAGAAGTTTGTATGCACCCTGGACCAGTCACATTTTGCACCGTTTTGAGACGCAGTAAAATTTATTTCAACATGTTTTCTCATTCCAGGAATCAGAACTTCTAGTGACCAACCTGGGCGACAAGATCTTGCAGAAGCACGAGGTGCTGTGCGACATCCCCTCACTCAAGCTGCTAGCCAACCTGCACGAAAGCCTGGTGAGCGTCCGACCAGAACACTGCCCTCTGTTGATGGTTTTGGGCAAGTACTTGCCACAAGGGTGCTAGACTGGCCAGCTTACCTCACGCTAAACATGTGTACAAAACAGTGGACGTTTTCAAAGATCAACTCTGTTTCACAATGCTGCTTGTACTTGCGGAGCGTGGTGCTATTTTACTCGCAAAATTTTTCCCACTATGTCTCTTGTCCGTGACTGGATCTTAATTTGCAAACTGTGACCTCTTGCTCATTTGCTGCGTGAAAGCTGAGGTCACAACCTTTAACTTATCACAGAGGCAGATACAATTCCTCAATTTTTTTCCACGTTTTTCTTTGTCTAGGAATGGTTCTCCAGTGGTATACGGTTGTTTGCCGGGTCGTTACCAAGTAGTGGTATCAACATGCTCACCACCCCAGGGGGTGTAACACTAGTAAGTACTCAAGATTTGAGAAGTGCTTGTATCAATGGGAACTGGGTGTTAATGGAAGCTTTTTGGCATGTCTTTGTGCAAAACGTGATCTACATTGATCTGATAGCCTCAGGAATGTATTGACATCGGTGATATACTTCATTACTCACTTCTGTGTTCATTTCCGTGACTCGTCTCCCCCCTGTAGGAGGTGCCGGCTGTGGAGAACAGCCTCCTTCACACCCTGATCTCCCAGGCCAAGGAGTTCAAGGAGCTGGCCGACGTCTGCCTGCTGGTGCTGCATCTGGAGTTGAGGCTGCATTGCTTCTACTACCTGCTGCCCGTCGCCAGACAGGTTAGAAGCCTGGGAGCCGGCTTGCAGGCTCTGTTTTTGTCAACTGTGGTCCTTAAACTTTGCACACGGTGCTGTGTGGGCACTCAGGAGGGCTGTTGCATATTTGGGACGTACCATGTGCATGTATCGATGCTTGTGGAGTAGAGCTCACATGACCAATTTTCATCTTGATGGGCACAAAGCCACAGCATTGTTGTGTGGGCTCCAGGTGCATTTAAGGTGCTGGTCCTCACATATTCACCATTTCCCTCCCTTTGTTTTGGGATGTTTGTGCACTGAGTATAGTTAAGAACCAACTCTCAGATGAAGGCTTGATTTGAGGGTAGGGGTTGGTTGGGTTGGTAAGGTGTGAACATGTAGCCTTCACTTAAATAAATTAATGCTGACAAAAACTGCTTACTGACTTGTTTAACCTCAAATTGAAAAGTTGGCTGATATTTTAATCCTGCTGTCCTAATGGAATCTAACTGAGAGGTGTGATAGTTAACCTTTGACCCCCAGATTACAGCTCTTAACTTTTTACATCGTCTGTCCCTTTTTAGTGAACACAATTCTTTGCGAGAGGTCTGTCTTAAAGCAGTTGTGTTCGTTGCAGCCTGAACGCATCGCTTGAATTCAGTGATCTCGCTTTTTTCTTGTGCATGTAGTCCAGTTTCTACATCAGCGCCGACAGCGTGGACCCAGACCCCAACGTGCTGAAACTCAACAAGGACCTGACCACGCTCGAGGAAGCACTCAACCCAAGCCTGATGCCTCACAAGTTCAAGTAAGATTGAATGTCTCAAAAAAAAAAAAAAAATCACAGGTAAATGGGCTGTTCATCTTAATGGTTTTCTCTCCAGCAATCATTACTCAAAAACTTGTAGCATTGGTGTCCAGTGAGAGATGTTCATTTGGTTAATCAAGCTATAGGGATAGATTAATTAAGTGCAAGAGCACTTGTGGAATACAGCAATATACTTAAACTTGTCTGAGTCTGTATGCCAGTCATTTGTGACCAGATCCTACGAAATGAGGCATAACTTTTTCATCAGTTTATTTGTAGTTTGCATCATAGGGAGCATGCTGAACCAATTTTGTTTTGATGTATTCCTTAGTTTGACAAAGCGGACATTGTTTGGGCATACACTGGGAGAGAGATGTTTTCAAGGACTGATATTGCTGGGTTGGGTCACATAATGTGATTCAGAGTGGGGGTTAGCCTGAACATTCACGTAAACAATCCTTTGGTTAGGCCCCCCAAATATTGATGGAGCTGTCCTTGGTTGACTAATACACCTTCTCACAGACTTGTCAGAGTGGGCAGGACCTATCTCACTGTTTCTCACATTTGTTTGTGTATTTTGTAAGCAACTATTTAAGAAAATAATGCAAGCTGACGTGTGCATGTACAGTCTAATGCATGTGTTTTTGGCTGGTATTTTCAGGTATGTCTTTGAAGGCTTGGGTCATCTCGTCTCCTTCATCCTGATCAACAGTGCCCAGTACATCAAGAGAATCAACGAAAACGGCATCAAGAAGATGTAGGTGCACATTACCCCATTTCTTCCATTATCTTGTCAGAGTTTTAGTGTAACAAGACAAAGTTGCCCTTTTGGAAAGCATAACTCACTGTGCTGCAAAAGGTTTGCACCGTTCACAGCTGCCGTTCTCTAAGTAAGTGCTGTGCTTGTCTGCAGGTGCCGCAACATCTTCGTCCTCCAGCAGAACCTGACCAACATCACCATGTCGCGGGAGACGGATTTGGACCAGGCGCGCAACTACTACGAGCTCATGTACAAAAGCACGGATGTAAGTGTCCAGTCATATTGCTTGTGAACGTTAAAATTGCGTGGGGGGTGTCAGATAATTTTGAAGAGTTTGAAGGGGTAAGATTACATGTATTTGAAGACGAAGTTCCAGTCTTTATACATGAATGGAGGAATGGAGTTATGGAAGATTCAAGATGCCTGTGTTTTGAGAGATGCATTGTACTAGATAGTGGATAAAATAGCTAGCCCGTTAAGGCGTTTTCTGAATAGGCGGCACCCTGCTGTTTCCGTTGGTCGGAGGCTGTCTGGTTATACTTTCATCAATTGTTAAGACTCGTTTATTTTTGGGGGCATATTCGGAGTGAGGTAGGCAACCAGGCAAGGTCGCATTGAGTTTCTTCCATTGTCATTGGTAGCCAGTTTTGGACAGTCTATCATCTCTTGCACTGCACAGATCAATGATTGGGCAGATTCAAGTTTAGCCACGTGGGCTGCTTGCGTTTAAGGGTTGCACGTAGCTTGTAGCCAGTACACAAACACCACTCTCAGGCTCTATCCAAATTATTCGGATATGGCTAGATGTAACACATGCACCTGTGGAAGTCACTAGCAACCGACTCTTGCCACTTTCCATTGACTTGTGTGTTATTGGCAGCGGTAGCCAGGTAATTTACACTCAGCCTTAGTCTTGCCACGTTAACGTTGACGGCCACCGGTCACCAGTAGCCAATATGTCAGATGGAGTCATTGGTTTTTTTTTCTCTGTTTACGTCTACCGTTTCCCAGGAGATTCTAAACGGCATCGTGGAGCAGGGGGCCAGCTTCAAGGAGCTGGAGTACCGCAACATCGTGCACCTGCAGCAACGTAGCAGCCCCGCCTATGACCAGAAACACCTGGCCAGGATGCTCAAGAAACTGGAAGAGATCATGATGGAGGCTGTCTAGGTGTTCCCTTCTCCCGCCCCCAAACCTCCTCTCCCCTCATCATTAAAACCTCAGCATGCCTGCCTTCGACTGGAAACACCTGGCCCAGATGCTCAAGAAGCTGGAAGAGATCATGATGGAGGCTGTCTAGGTGTTCCCTTCTCCCGCCCCCGAGTTTTTTGTTGAGCCTGATCTTATTTTTCAAAATTTCTCGGAATGTCTTTCATACAAATCCTAGTACTTACCACCTCAATAAACACCCGTGTCCATTTCTTTAGTATTTCTGTACTTTCTGAAATAGAATTCGATCGAGGGGGAATCGTTTTCAAGAGCAGAGTCTGTGAAAGTGTTGTATGTGGTATCTTACCTTTCCTCAACCAACCACACAAGGTTAGTAACAGCAAATAAGGCCGTTTCACAATAGTACGCCACCAAGAATTTGCAATGTGGTGGCCATTCACAATGCGCGAAATCTGTCGACCCAACGCACGTTAGGAAAGGGTCGACAGATTTCGTACGTTGTGATTGGCCAACGCGTCGTAAACTCTTGAGGGTGCACTCTAGTGAATCGACCGTATTGAGCATATTAAATAGACACGAGTCCAAAAAAAACCACAGAGTTCAAGTGACCAAAGATAATTCACGTTGAGATTTTGGTTTTGTTTTTCACTTGGTGATGGAGCCAAGGGAAGTATGTACAATATAGCATCTTTTGTTCGGAATTTTATCTAGAAGTTTGGTAATCAGTTGCTATTTTTCAACTGAGAAGCATTGTAATTAGAATGCATGTGCAATATACTCATGTACAGTGAGGTAGTAAAGAAAAGCTTATCCAGAATTTAAGATGTGATGTAAAGACGAATACCAGCTTCAAAATCAATTGATCTGGGCCAATTCATGGTGCTGCTAAGAGCACGAGTTTACGCTACAAAGCTTCGGCATATTTCACAGAGACTGAAAGCAGTAAACACAGCAGGAGGCACGTGTTCCTCGGATGAAAAAATTTCTTCAGGATGTTAAATTTGACATGAACAGAAAGAGGCAGCTTGTATTAAGGTCAGAAATATGATACCCATGTTATCTTTGAGCAAACGTCATGCGATACTAATCGGCCCGTTGCTATTGTCAGTATCTCTCGCTGGGCAGTTGATATTCCTGCATGTGTTGCACACGTCTAGTCCTGTATGTATGAATTCTACAACCGTAAAACCACACTCGCGTTCCTTTATAATCAGGTTTACTCTGAAGAGAATGTACTTTTACACAAGATCAACTGAAAAATGTGTCAGCAGCTTTTAAGTACCGACGACTACCAGCTAAATTACTGGCTCAGGAAAAGTTTGAAGGAGCCTTCTGGTTTATATTAGGGAGGAAAAATAAAACCTTTTGCCCGTTTACAGTTTTAAGTGTTTGCTGGCATTTAGTGTTCCTCTGGTACTTCAGAGAATTTTTTTTTAATGTTTTGAAGCTCTGTATCCCTTAAAGATCTATTTTTGTTCGACTTTTTTTAAAATTTCATTACAGAAAAATGCTTGCCCAATTAAGATTGATTTACATGGTTTTGATGATTTTTTTTTGTAAACTGGTTGATGCCAAATTCAAATGCAGCAGGTGAAAATGCTAATCCAGCAACCGGAAAAAATTTAATAAAAACGTAAGTGTAACTCATTGTTCATTCCTCGTCTGTATTCGTGATGTATTTATTTTCTATTTTTATTATGATTTACACAATACAATGTACATGGCCTACATTGTGGAAAGTTCTACAAAATAGAAATGTTGCATTGTAGTTAATAACACATTGCCTTCATTTTCTCAGTCCTGCACCATTACTTCTTCTGTCATTGCTAACTTTACGCATGTCCTGTCCGTCACTTGTTTGCATGCACACAGACACTGTGAAAACTGTGGAGGCGGTCAACCTGTTGAACTTGAGTGATTACTGTACACGGCCAGTCGTAGTGGCAAATATATACGTATTGCTCTATGGCCTCTGAGGTTCTGAAAATGAAACATTGTACAAATATTGTACAAATGTTGCTCAAGAGCTTGGTATTTGTGGCACTTTGGATGTATTTTTAAGCAGGCGGACGTAGCTTTTCTTGTCAAGAGTCAGGGCATTTTCAACTGTTTTTGTCAAAAATAATCCCATCCACAAGTAACGTGTCGCGACGCCCATGTGTCGAATGTAACACCCATTAGATGGGAAACATTCCTGTAGCTGACACTTACACTTTGCCCTGAGCTAGAATTTCTGCAGCCTACAAAAAATAGGTATTGAGCACAAGAACTAATACAGGTATTGCGCGTTTCAAGCACTGCGACACAGTCAAGCTCCTTGACAGATGCATTACAAGTCAAGGTTTAATAAAAATCTCAGAAGTTCAATAAATAACTACGTGATGACGACTTCAGCACTCTAATTTGAAAAAAAAAAGTATGCCTCCGTTTTCAAATCACAATCGTTCCCTTTTTGTTACAATGGGACCCTGCAAATCGATGGAATTCAGCCAGTGTGTTACGCGCAATCTTCAAGGATGCTATCCCCTCACCTCCACAAATAAAAAAAAATTGGAGCGCCACAGAAACACTGCAGGTAAATGTGACCCCTTACCCATATCATCAAACGCTGTGGCAGAAGATTTTTAAAATTTGTGCTCTATAAATTTGACCCTTATTGTCAAATGAGTTTCCCCTGATGACTGAATACCTGTTTAAATTTCAACTAAAACCTGGACGTAAAACAATGCCCTTCACATTCAAACGACTTAAGATTTCAGAGAAATGGCATAATGTTAATGCAGCAAAATCCGTTTCAACAGTCTGAATATCAAAATAAGACATCCACAAGTCACATGCTAGATGCACCCAACATGTAAAATCACAGGCTCCTAAATACCTGAGAAGTGAATGCAGTGCTCAAGTCATTCTAAAGGACCTGACGAGTCCATAGTCCGTTTTTGTGAGGATTAGAATATAAAAATTTGGCCACCTCCCCCCATCCCATGCATGGATTCACAATTTTGTGCCAATGACCACATCCAGTGGGTAGTAAATTATTGATGACGCGCTGCATTAATTCACTAGTAATCTCCTGCCGACCAGAATCAAGAGGGAAATTTTTTTAACAGTTGAACCATGGGAAGACATTCCACAGACGACTTGACAATGCACAGCCTAAATGAACCCGTCCTGGTATCAAGGCTACACGTCTGGTTCCCAGACCACCTCCTGCATGGCACCGAAGTTGTCTGTTCAAACATGGAGCTCCATGGATCAAGTTTATACTAGAGTTTTTTTAATACGGGGGTGGGGAGTTGTTCCTGCATCAGCGAAACTGGGCCATGTTGGACTGGATCCGCTGTTTCATGGGCCCCAGGAGGTTGATGTGCTTCTCTCCGCACTTGATGACACAGTCCTCCAGCTCGGCCTTCAGTTTGTCCACCTGCGCCGGTGTTGCCGATGGCACCAGACGGTCCTTGATGTTATCCTGGCACTGCATGCCGCAGCGCTGTAGCCTGTCCTGTGAGTTCATTCGAATGAGAACATCGAGCACCTTTAAGCTATAGCACAATGTGACTTGAAAGTTGGGTCAATTTCGACCTTGTAAAATATGAAAGTAGTTTCTCATTCTTTTTGGGGCCAAAATGGAGGAAGAGACCATATTTTAAGTTGGCATATGATTAATGGATTCTTACTTTCTTGACTCGCTGATGCCTACGGGTCTAAAAGAGAATCACACTTTGTAGTGGATTTTGAAATAATAAAAAAATCAGCACGAGTCAACACAAGATGTTCAATTAGGCGATTAAAAAAAGAAGCAGGGAAAGAAGGAAGCAGACAGAGATAAACTGCTTTTTACCTGACCTTAAAGCATACATGTACATACCGGTAGGGTACGTGTTGCTAGCTAATTCTACAAAGGATACATTTAGGTCCCCGCTAAAAATGATGCAACAAATGTCTTCAATCACTGCTCAGATCAACGAGAACCAACCCCAAAATGGCTCCCTAATAATGTCCAACTGAGCACGTCTGCTCATGTCAGCACTCTAACCCACTGCATCTTAAAACTGCAAGTTTTAAGATGCAGTAGGTAACCTCCTGAAGGGATGTTACCGTACCTCAGACGGTAGGGTACCGGCCCAGTCAGATGCTGAAGAACTCAAAGGTTTGAACCCTCCTCCTGTCAAGTTTCTCTGACTGTGAAAGCTGATTTTTTTTGGAGGGGGGGGCAGTAGAATGGGATAAGCGGAAACTAACCAGAAAATCATTCAGTTCGGATTGCATGTAGTTCTGTGCTGCTTGCAGGGGTTGTGAGCACTTCTCGATGCAGCTCTGCACCTCTGACATACTTGCAGTGGAGTTTTCGCAGCACTTGGCACTTTTGAGGTACATTTCTCTCTGAAAGAAACCGCAGCATTTATGCACTAGCACAGCAAGAAAAACTGTCACGATTATGTCAATCCAACACAAAACCACAAGACTTGACATGAAATGCCTACCATGCCTACTGACGGCATACATGAGCAGAAGTGTACCTTTTTAGTCCATCATTGTCTAGCAGTATATCAATATACGTCATCGGTCATTTCATAATTTTACTTGTTCCACACATGAGATAAACAAACTACCACACGGTCATACTATCATAGGTCTGCTACAGGTTTGGCCTCACTCACTCCGGTATTCAACAATGTTAACAAATTAAAAAATTTTCAGAGAAAGATATTCCAGCAACTGGAATCAAAAAACGTCTATTTATAAATAAATCATGAATAAAGTTCTGGTCATACTAATCTGGCATGAATTTTACCATGCTTATCACGAAATAAGTGCAGTCATTTGAATACCGGCGTTCAACTTGGGCACTAAAGACTAGCCATCTGCTTATGCTACTTTAGGCGACTTAAAAAAGATGTTAAACATCCTGGGACCCACATTGCAACATGCATCAGGCTTACATGGCTTTGGCCCTAAGTAAGTAAAACCCAGCACAGCAATGAATTAGGCCTCCAAGCTCATCATGCCGGTTACCGAAGCAAGACCCAGTTCCCACAGTTACCTGCATCGACCGGAATGTTTCCTGATCTAGCTGATTCACCATTGCAGACACCGCGTCGTCCACTCGCTTTTTACACGCTTGCACTGCTATAGACTCCGCCATCTTGGATTCTATAAAGATAAGAAAGAATATAACGAACGGACCTTACCCACACCCACACCCGGCCCCCCGCGCCCGTGGCCCCAGGGTCCTAGCTGCAGCATGCCATGCCATGCGCGTGCATCATGCTCCGATCCATTTCTCTGGAGGAATAAGATTATAATATCGCAATTTAATACCGACAAAAAGTAGAAACGTGGTGCAATATTCAGATAGACTCTTTGTGAAACTCGTGATCAGTAAGAATAAATGCGTTTGAGACCTCATTGGGTGCCAAAAAGTAAAACATAAACAAAGCATGCAATAAATCCTAGATCATCAGAAAAAAAACTGCTTCTTGAACAAAATTTCCCCCATATCGCTTGTTTCAGCGGCCGCCGCGCGGCGGACCTAGAACTTTTAACCAATTAAGAGATGTCCAGCGTTCCATTCATTCAGCTTCCTCCTCTCTGCTGACCTCTGATATTTATTATTCATGCATCAAAAGTAACTTGTTTCCCTAATTAATATGTACTTTGGATAAACGGCAATGAAAATAAAATATCAAAATTGGAGGAGGATAATACAAGTCGTAAATGTTACCCACGACATATACATGTACCACCCCTGCCGAATATTTGGAAAAATCTGGTTAACTGGTATGCGCTGACCAATTTAAAATACGTTGTGTAGCAGGTGGACACCAGTTTCCCAAACCCATTGTTGCATGCATATCCGCGTGTTCTGCACACACGTGCACGTGCGTCCGTCCAAGCGTGCAAGGTGAGCGAGTCGGTGAGTTGCGGAAGTAATTGTCGTGTATTTATTTGCATTTCCCTCACGCTTTGTAGCGGAACTTTCCATCGCATGTTTCAACGAGTCAACGGCATTGATGCTGCGACCATTTCTGAGCCTCCGACTGTCGAAACTGAAGCCGGACTTCTCTAGTTTAGGCCATAGTTTAGGGGGAGCTCGTACCAAACCGACTGTGACTCTAACAAGAAGTTGCCCGCGAACTTGTGCTAATCCGTTGAGCAACAGCATGAGTTCGGCAGCCTCGAATCTAGCTGACCTGACTGAAGCTGCCAAAAAAGCTGCTGCATACGCCGCTGTGAATGACCACGTCATGGTAGGTTTTTGCTCTGTGTACGGTGTGTAATTTGCATAAGTTGAGTTTTAATGACTGCTGTCTATGCCTTCCTCATCCATGGTTTTAACTTAGTTTTATTTTAGCGTACAAATTATAATTCGGTAAGTTCCACAATAATGATACTGTAGGCGAAATGGGACGAGAGGTTGTGGATAGCCATGTACAAACTCCCATAACACTTTGGCTCTTTTGATTGTGCCAACTTACTCTTCCATCACTGCTATTTGTGCAACCAAATTTCATTCGTGCCTTCTTGGTGAAGTTAGATGTCAGATGGGGAAGTTTATTCACCAATTATGGATGTGATTTAGGCGAAGATCTATATCGGCATGTATTTCCTACACTAATGCAAAACCTTGCACATTTCTGGAAATTTTTAACTTGAGTGAATATGATGAAATCTAGAAGCACCAGGCACCAAAAATTATTTTTTGCCAATTTTTATCAAAAGAAAATGCATGAAAAATACTTGAGTAGGCCTCCTTCAAAACACAACTTCTCAAGAGTGCAGCGATCATCTGTCAACAATTTTATGACCAATGAAAATTTGAATGTTTGTCACTGGGAGACTGCCTGGAACTGACCGCCACCATTTAGGAATTTCCCTGACAGGACATGGTCCTTGCACACTACTGATGATGGTGGTGGTTGTGGCGCTGACAAATATCACTGAATATTGCACCCTCATGTATCAAAATGTCAAGTTTAATTAAGCCTCTTTCTAGTCTGTGCCATTATCAAAAATTTTCACACTGTCTTTCGAATTGGCAATGGCTGCATAGATACCCTTCTACAAGTTCAAGGAACAACTGCAAGTTTCCGATGATACATTTTCACGTACATGACGTAGGTTGTCTCAACAGCTTGAATTCAGTGCCACCAGCAAAGCTAACCTCTAAGTATTCTTGTCTTTACTTTTCGGCAATGTTATCTTGCCTCTTGTCCAATTTTTTCAGAAGACTTTTCTTGAACGATGCTATTTGTGTCTTGTTCACTACTAATTTTAGAAATGGCTTATAGGATGACGAGAAGTAGCGTTTAAAGTTGAGCAAATTCATACAGTACTGGGGAGTTTGGTAGTCAAAACAAACATGTAGGTGGGGGGAATCTGTAGCTTTGTGAATCAGTGGATTTCTCTCCTTTTACAATTTTGGGGTTTACTTGTAGGTGTAATTTTGTGACCCGTCATGACAAATGGACATTTGAGAAGAAAAACAATTTGCACTTTTCACACTGAACTATCAGTTTTGGCTTTCTCTGATGTTCCAACAATCACCGTTGGCAACGCCCCACTAATTTTCCTACAGCTACATGTGAATATTGCAGGTATTTATGGAAATAGCCATGTTGCCCAAGCAGGCTTACGTGCCCTTGGCCCATCAAAGACGATCCCAAAACCCAACCCTCTTGCAGTGTGTGAGCATTCAACATACAGCTGGAAAATTCCAACAAACTGGCTTCAAAGTCAATTTGGTCCCCATGGGAAAATGTATGGGATGTGGTGGAAAGTAGTGATTTGGTTGGTTGAAAGCCACCGCAAACACATGATCGTAGAGTTTTAGATTGAAGCGATCTCTTTACTCTTTCTCTGCGAGACCCCCCTGCTAAAACCCAAAACTCAACCATGACAATTAACTTTAAAATGTAGAAAAGAAGTTTAAGACTTCACATGAGTGAGAGACCCCCCCCCAAAAAATGTGAAAAGCTTGGGCCAGTGTATATTATTTAAATTTGGAGATTTTGTACAATGTGGTTTTTGAAGAGTTTGGGAAAAGACAATGTGTGGTATTTTTTCTTTGTTAATAGTTGCCCACTCAATAAATTCTAAGAAAAAACATGCTTTTCCTGGGTTTTCATTTCTACTGGTGTTTAAAAATTTTTTTAATTGTTATGTGTCACAAACACAGCATATATGTTCTTGCTTAGTCATGCGTGAATTCAGCCCAGTATTTCTTTTGAATCAACCGCACTGCTCAAGAATGCCATTTGCACTGCCTCAACATAATGACAGGAGGATTGCTGGGGGATTTTGAAGGATTGAGGCAGGAGGCACACCTTCAAAAAAGAAACATTTTCAAGAATTTTTGGAGGACTTTGGAGGATTGAGGCTGAAGGCAATTTTTTCATATTGAGAATTGGAGGATTTTGGAGGGTTGAGGGTGGTTCCTACTGTATTAGGTTTAGTGTTCGATTGCCTGTATTGTTAGAGATAGCTGCACTGAACGCACCTTGTTTTATGTACGTACTGTGATGGGATGCTCTTGGCCAAGTACATTTTTGTTCTTGATTTTTCCCAAGGAGAAAGGGTTGTCCCAAAATTGGCCTGAGGTCTATGACAAGCCTCAAAAAGAGCAAAGCCTCAAATACTCATTCACGTGCAGTTTATGGGGGCACTGTGATACTTCTGTCAAGTTGGAATCTTGCCCTGAGATGGATTGTTCCATTTCATTCCGATGTTTTGGTCAGTGCAACTACGGTACTTCCTTGCTATTTGTCAAGGAAGAGGCGAGATAGCCAGTGTACAGGCAAAGACATCGACTCGAGGTACCCCTACAAAGTGTTGTTCTTTCCTTGTACATCTTGCAGGATAACTACCGTCTGGGCATTGGCAGCGGCTCAACCATTGTCTACGCGGTGGAAAGACTTGGTAAGTTACTAATCTGCAGACTCTCATGGATGGTTTTGGTCTATAACTGGTAGACAGAAGAGGAGGACACATAGAACGATGTTCGTCATATGCATCCTAAATATTTATACTTGATTCTATCGAAAACATTTCATTCTCATTGAAGAGACAAGACATGGGAAGTGGAAAATCGAACTGCAGAAGAAATGATAGATTAAAGTATTTAGGATATGTTGTTCTACGTGTCTTCCTTTTTCGTCTACCTCTGTAACAGAAGATGGGAATTATTCACATGTCTGGGCATTTGTGACTCCACCTAACAGTACGAGTCGCAAATCACAAGAGCCACGATTTTGAAGGATCAAGACCGTGGGCACCCCTTAAAGGAGCATATTCAAGAAATACTGGGGGATTGAGGACTGAGGCTGAATGCAATTTTTTTGGCATGGATGAGCGGTGGATTTTGAAGGATTGATCGTGGTGCCTAGCAAAAAAAAATGCCTCTGGGGTTAGGGCTTAAGCAAACTTGAAAAAAAAAAGACTGAAGAATTGCCATCAGATTCAGTTTGTGTTTGAATTGATTATAATTATGTGGTTTTGTATTCAGCCCAGCGCGTCAGGGAAGAACAGTTGTCAGTCCAGTGTGTGCCGACATCATTCCAAGCCCGCCAGCTGATCATTAACAATGGTCTGGTACTCAGTGATCTCGAGAAAACACCCCAGGTAGGCATTTTTTGTGTCAAGCCATCATTTGTAGGATAAATTTTTCTTTTTTGGGGGGGAAAGTCTTGCACTTGATCCACAAAATTTGTCAGTGGATCTGAGACATCTTTTCAAATGTGAAGGTCATCTCATTCAGGTGAAAGCTTGTCTCAAGTTTCCTGAAACTGCTTTGGATTTGAAACATGCTTGAGAACTCTTTCAGTGTGTTTTGTTTTTCAGGGACAATTAGGAAATGGGGTATGCTAGTCAACAGGTCAAATCCCTGACCAAATCAGTCAAATCATTTTCAATTTTTTTTATAGATTGTGAAAATGCCGTGTTTCCGTCCACTTCTGGTACATAGCCTGTGTATCTTCAAACTGATCCAGTTTGTTTATCTTTTTCTACTGCTTCAGCTGGATGTTGCCATAGATGGAGCTGATGAAGTCGACAGTGGCCTCAACCTCATCAAGGGAGGAGGGTGAGTTAGGTTTCTGTGGAGGTGTGCCCCCTGCCTCAATCCTTCAAAATCCTTCAGCAGTAGACCTTTTTCACGGGGGAAGCCATGTTTTGTCTTGCTCCCTAAATATATCACATTCAGTGTAATCTGTGAAATGGGATGGTGCCTGACTATTTTGGGTTCCAGTCCTCGCTTTCATTTCTTTTATGTGCCTTTTTAGAAATAACTTGCCACGAATGTCAAATTATCGTGAACAAAGAAGGCATGAATTCGTATTGAACTTTTATTTTGTCCCTGTTGTTTTTACTCTTAGGTTCCCAAAATGAAAATTTTACCCCAATTTCAATTCAAGATGGCCGACACATGAATACTGTCTATTCATGTCAATACGTTGAGGCAGTGCAAATGGTATCCAGGAGCTATGGGGATGATTTTACATATAATCTTGGCCAAGCATAAACAGCGCCCGATCCGGCCCAAGGCCTTGATACAGTGCATCCTTCACAGTCAGCCATACATTTTTTCCATAGAGCCTCCAAATCCTCCAATACCATTCGGTTTGAAGGATTTTAGGAGGTTAGGGTTTGATATGCATATTAAAGTATCGTTTTCCTCATATACTCTGGAACACTCACATCTGTCCAGCCCAACTTTTCTCAATTTCTGTTACCTCAAGACACGAGTCGAAAGCTGGGGCATCCCAGTCGGAGAACCAAGGGTTAAAAGCGTAAGCCCATTTATGCAATGACCCCTTTCTCTGACTCTCTCACAGCGGCTGTCTCACGCAGGAGAAGATAGTCGCCGCTAACGCCAAGTGTTTTGTCGTCATAGCCGACTACAGGTGAGCTCCGACAATCCAGCCAAAAAGTGGAAAACCCAAAATGGTGTGGAATGAAATTTCACAAACATGGATGTCTTGGTTAAGTATAGAGGAGATAACTGTTTGCTGGCCAACTGTTTAGCTTGGGTCACACAAAAGTTCTGATGTTCACTATTGTGGCCCACATTGTAGGCTTGTTTGATATTTGATATGCAGAAACGATCTTCCACAATTAAAACTATTTGACAGGGTACGCTTCCGAAACTTGCCTGTCAAGGGGAAATCAAGTACATGTGGCTTGCACGAGGGCAGTGGTACTTGGGATGTGGGTGTCACTACAGACCCGCAGAGCGGGAAGTGTTTAACGTTCTTGCACTATTTCTGGTTTGTGAAGGAAGAAGTCGAGTCACTTAGGGGAGCATTGGGACCGCGGGGTACCCATCGAAGTCATTCCCCTGGCCTACAGGCCCATCATGATCACCCTAGCCACACAGCTTGGGGGTGAGGCAGTACTCAGGATGGCCAAGAGTAAAGCGGTAAGTCATCGAACATCACTGGCATGCATTGGCTGCTGGTGTACGTGCCCCAGAGAAAGTTGCTTTTGCCAAGCGACAGCCACTTGTTGAAGATATTGTGCTTTCCTGTGCTTGTTTGCATGTGGTGTGGCATGTGCAATGGTGAATGTGCAAAGGGTGTTGTATTCAAGTCCATCACAAGTCCCTGCAAGTCCCTCTAAGTCCATCACAAGTTCCTGCAAGTCCATCTAAGTCCATCACAAGTTCCTGCAAGTCCCTTTAAGTCCATCACAAGTCCCTCTAAGTCCATCACAAGTCCCTGCAAGTCCCTTTAAGTCCATCACAAGTCCCTGCAAGTCCCTCTAAGTCCATCACAAGTTCCTGCAAGACCCTTTAAGTCCATCACAAGTCCCTGCAAGTTCCTCTAAGTCCATCACAAGTCCCTGCAAGTCCCTCTTAGTCCATCACAAGT